GTGATCCTGAGAGACCCTGCCTACCCTTTACTCCCGTTGCTCATGAAGCCTTTCACCAGAAACCTTGATAGCAGCAAGGAGTGCTTCAACAACAGGCTCAGCAGGTGCAGAATGACTATAGAATGTGATTTTGGCAGATTAAATGGTCACTGGTGCTGCCTTTTTGGCAGGTTAGACTTCAGTGAAGAAAATATTCCCATGGTCATAGCAGCCTGCTGTACTCTTCCCCCTCGGCTTCAAAAATGTTATGCAAAATTTTCCAAGGTGTGGAGCGTTGAGGTGGATCGCCTGGTGGCTGATTTTGAGCACCCAGACACAGAGGGGCTCAGCGGGGGGGGGGGGCATTTTAAGGGTTTGAAGGAGCATTTTCACAATGAGCCCTAGAAATGTCTTTCAGTAATGAATTCAGGCAGGCATTGTTTACTTGCCATCTTGAATGACCCTTGTACAGATTGCTGCCTGATCCTTAATCATAGTCTGCATATGTGCTGATTTGCCACTGTGTGTGAATTTCTGCTGCACCCACCATGTGTAGGACACACATTAAAGAATGATATTTCTGAGACTATATTTTTATTAAAGAGAAATACACAATTTCCATTTCTGTTTCCTACAAGGGACATGACACTGAGCAGCACTCTCTCAAATGAGGCTCTCACAGCTGTGTGTAAATCCAGCTGTTGTTATGGAACTGGTCCTTAGGGGTGAAGTGCCAGGGGTACTGTGATGGGCTGGGAACATGTCATGAATGTTTGTGGGGAGTTTGGCAAGGGCATGGAAAACAGTTCTGTATGGGCTGCAGGGGGAGTTGAGCACACGTGTTCCAACTGCAGTGAGTCAGGGACCTGAGCGTCTCTGTTTGGTCCTTCATGAGCTTTATCATCCACTCATGCTCCTCTATTATTCACTCCTGCCCTTGTCTCCTTGGCTGTCCTTTCTGAGTTTTTCATTTATTGTCTCTCCATGCTCTGTGCTTGATACCTGTATGATCGGATTATTGCAGCACTTCTCAAAACATGTCCTCCTTACCCCTCATTCACCTCCTTATCTGACTGAGACGCTCTGCTGGTGTGTAGGAGCTGACCATCAAGGGAATATCTGCAGAAGCCAAAAAAAAAAAAGAAAATCAGTATTGAGTACACTCTGTCTTGAATCATAGAGGGTGCTTGTAACTTTTTTCTTGCTTTCCCTTGGCAGGCACGCAGCATGGCGAGAGCATTAAACATGGTGAGTTCTGCCTGGCGGAAAGGTGCACGATGGGACAAAGGATCTGGGTGGTTTCACAAGGGGATTACTACAAGCGCCTAGGGACACTATTCTGAATACTGGCACCATTTTCCACAGGCAAGGGTGATGGAAGCTGATATCTCTATTGAGGGTAACTGATGATGTAAGAATGCATCTCCTGCATGCGTGTAGCTTCAGACCAGGTCCATAGGCTGCTCGTCTGTGTGCTACTTTAGTTTCTACAGAAGTAATTGACGATTGGCATGGCAAAGTTTCCTACAATGGGAGAAGAAACGAAACAGCTGTGTCAAGGAACCTTTGTTAGAGGATTGCAGAGTATCTTCAGGAAAGTTTCCTAGAGATTTCTATGGAGGATTCCCAGGAGATCCTGGTGTGCATTAACAAACTTTTCTTCAGGACCCCCATTGTGTAGCTGCACGGGGGAATGAGGAACAGATGCAAACAGTACCTAGTGTTGGTAATTTCTATCCCTTTTCCCACGTGCACCATGTAACAAAATAAAGGACACTTGTACTTCATGTTACTGTGCAGTATCAAAGCAAATTGACTACATACCGGAGCTCCCCTCTCCTGCTTCCAGTGCACCAGAGCCAGAGTACTGAGACTGGCTGAACCCCTCTGGAGTTAGAGGTCCTGGCTCACCACACCACTGGACAACCCTGTCATCTGTCCCATAACCTCCTCCAACTAAATCTCCTCGTCTACCACTTGGTTCTCGTGGTTGATTCTGCTGGCTACTGCCTCCAATGTCCCTGAAGTATCCATGGGGCTCGTGGCGGTGGGGTCACTACCGAGGATGGCATGTAGCTCCTTGTAGAAGCCGCATGTTTTCAGTGTTGCACCAGAACAGATGGTTGGCCTTCCTTGCCTTTTGGTACGCCTGTCTCAGGTTCTTGATCTCAGCACAGCATTGCTGCTTGTCCCTTTCATGCCCCTTCTCCTCTATGCCATGAGCAAAGTTCCTACGGCTGGATTGGAGCTGCGACTGCACAGCCTCCTTTACCCACAGATTCAACAGATCCAATAAACTCCGGTGTACTCCAGGCGGGAGTGCGTTTGCTGCGGAAAGCGAGAATGGTCACTGGGAAGATGCTATGTGAACTCTCCATGCTGAGCAAACAGGAAATAGAATTTCAAAATTCTTGGGGCTTTAAAGGGGAGGGGTGCATGCATGTGTATCTGGCTGCAGGGCAGTGGAGTTGAAACTGTGGACCAGAGCGGTCATGATGGGCATTTTGGGATACCTCCTAGAGGCCACTGAGAGCAGTATAAACAAGTGCAGTGTCTGCGTTTCTCTAACTTGGTCACATAAAGGTCTGTGCCGCTCGTTGGTGTGTTTTTATTATGTTGGCATAGCAGGAGAGTTTAATCGGCTGGAGGAGCATAGCAGTACGTACGCATCCACTGTTTTGTCGACGTGTTTGATTTTTGTTGACAAAACTGTGTAGTGTGCACAAGGCCGTAGTGCACAGCAAGGTAATGTAACGTAGATTTACACCCCAGTTTGCCGTGGATTAAGTGTTCATATAGAATATCAGGGTTGGAAGGGACCTCAGGAGGTCATCTAGTCCAACCCTCTGCTCAAAGCAGGACCAATCCCCAATTTTTGCACCAGATCCCTAAATGGCCCCCTCAAGGTTTGAGCTCACAACCCTGGGTTTAGCAGGCTAATACTCAAACCCTTGAGCTGTTCCTCCCCCCAAGGGATATAGACAAGCCCTGTGCCACCTAGGTACTTCTGAAAATGTTAACCTGAGACTAAACCTTTTCTAGTTTTTAAATGCTTTGTTAAAAGTGAACTGCCATGTTTTTGGAAGCTGTAGAGATGGATAAATGAATAACTAAATTGCTATTTGATGAAATGTACACAAGCAGTGATCACTGCAGTTAAAATATTGCCGAAAGCTAGGCAAGTCTGTTCACCTTCAACATAAATTTTAGGACTGACTTGCTAACCTATTATAGAATACTGTAAAGTGGAGAACCCCTCTGATAATTCTGAGAATGTAACCACTTTACACATAGAATCATAGAATATAAGGGTTGGAAGGGACCCCAGAAGGTCATCTAGTCCAACCCCCTGCACATATATGGGTTCTTTCACAGCGAAGTCTTATAGATTAAAGAACTTGCTTTGGTTATGCTTTTTCTCCACAATAAATCAAGTAACTCCCCCAGAGTAAGAACTACTCTGTTCTGTGGCCTTGGGGTATAGAAAAACATAAACGTTGTTCACAAACATGAAGTAAAACAAACCAAAATCCAGTCAAGAATTATTCATTAGAAAAGGGCTAAACACAAACTGAATAAACATTTGCCAAACATCACTCTGTTATACACTCTTTTGTCTCACCCTTTGACTAATCTACTTAGATTACTAGCTGTTAGGCACTACCAAAATATAAATAAGAAACCTAGTGCAGGTAAGGTGGGTGAGTATATCTTTTATTGGACCCGTTTCTCTTGGTGAGAGAGACAAGCTTTCAAGCTTACACAGAGCTCTTCTGGGACTGACATGGCTACGTAACACTGCTTACAAATCTAGTGCAGGCGTTTAGCAGATAGGGAAAATAATACAATCCTAGGTAATATAACATCACTGGTGAGAGTGGCATGGTAAGGGAACCACCTATTGAGTGGGCAAAGGGTGATGAGGGCTGGTGCTTCGGTTAACTACCACCCTCTCTTTGTAGGGTGGGGAAGGGAAAGGATGGGAAGTTCCTAAACAAGACTGCAGTTAGAACTGAATGGGAAGCCAGATATGACATTGAAGATCTGTGTAAACTGTTCTCCCTCCCTGCAGCTCCAATTTCTCAGCTTTCCCTTTCTTCTGCACCACTGAAAAACCTGTCATTGCCAGCATGTGGTTTTTAAACTAAGGTGTTTTTAAGAAATATTTTGGGGTAAGATTGAGGGATCAGAAGGCAATGGGACAAAAGGAGGGTGGGAAAGATTGGTGGAGTTATGAGGTGGGGGAGAGAGGGGAAAATGAAGAGATGGATAGGGGGTGTTAGAAGGTTGGGACGAGAGTGGAGTTTTAAAAAAGGGTAGCTAAACTGAACTATACTTGTTTGATCCCTCTGTTTATGGCATTGGAACAAACCCTAGTTGGCAAAATAGAATCAAAATTGTGTGTAGTTCTTATAAGTAGCTGACGTGAGCGGATGAGGTCAGAAAGATAGCAGGTTCTGAATCTGTTATAGGGGGAAATGCTGAGCTAAAGACTGACCGTGTGCCCTCTGTTTTTGCTGTTGAAGTGGGACTTGCTCCAGTGAAGTAAGGCACCTTGATCCTCGGAGCCGTGGGTAAAGATGTGGGTGTTCTTGTAGTATATAAATCCAAATAAATAAGCCACTGCTACTACTGATTCTTTTGGGAAGAATATTGTCTATAGAAAGCTACCCTGTTATCTTGTAAGAAGCTGATTATTCACAGCTGGAGAGTTAGACTGCAAATTTTGCAGTCTATGTAGACGTGTCTGAGAAATTTATGGATACAGAGAGGGTGAGACTACTTGAAGGTAGCAGGTACCATCACAGCAAGTGAATAATTTACCTTCTTATGAACTGTATAAGCACATAGTCAATAAGCCAAGTTTCACTCTGCCTAAAAATCTGTAGTTTTGCTGATCTGCCATTTACATTTTCTTAGAAGCAGGTATTTCCATGTCATTAGCCAAATGAATCTTTGAGACTAAGCATATACTACCTTCTGAAAGGTTAAACAATATTCTTTTATATGCTTTGTCGTAGGATGTAGTTTTGGGTGAAAGATGTGGTGATCTAGATCTCAGAAATGATTCAGATATTCCAGAAGTGTCCCCGTCAACAGACAGCACTCCAGAAATTCTCAAGAAAGCTCTATCCGGCTTGTCTTCCAGGTATGCTAAAATAGGATTCTTAACACATTTGGGTTAAGAGTGTTGAGATAGCTGCTGACTAAAAAATAATTACAGACAAAATTGGAGTCAGTTTTTTATTTAATGAGGGAACATGGTGCCATAAAAATAAATAGTTGTTTTTTGGATTTAGTATTCTGGTATCTGGACTATATTAATGCTTGTGTAACAATTTTCATATAGTTACTGTGCTTTCAAAATATGCTACCCAAAAGTTCTCTAGCTGCACCCATTTTTAAATAACTAAGGTAGCTTTTAAGTTACGATATTTAACGATTATCTGCTGTTGCTCACTATTTTCTATCTTGGTACAACAGCACAAGCGTTAGTAGTTATAAGGGCTGATGTTGCAGGACCGTTATTTATTTATTTATTTATTTATTTATTTTTATTTTTAAATAAAAGGAGAGCGAGCGAGAGAGAGAAATAAGAGGCTTTTGGTTTAATATGTGGATTTGATTTCTGTCACGGTTTAAATCACTAGTCAGGAAAACGGGATTTAATCATGGATTTTTACATAAAAGTGCATTCTTGTTGGTTGGTATAACCTTAATACATATTCTTCACAACTCAGAGTTAGATGTAGGTTTCATTTTTAGAAGGTACACACTATACATTTTTAAAGTGATTTATTTTGAAAACTTTTCAGATTAGTTTTACAACTATATCAGAAAATGAATGATTGTTTGGTTATTTCATTTACCAAAGGTAATTGAAGCAGATATTATGAAGTCATTGGGAGGTGACCTATCTCCTCTTCAACAGGTTAATCATTAATATTTGGAGGATTTTCTTGCCATGCTGTATTAGGAGGAGAACATCATCAGATAGCTATTTTAATTGTTTTATTTAACTAAAACAACAATGTTATGTATTCTGGATTTTTTTCTTCAACAGCAAACATATAATATTTTAACAAAACAAGCATATAAATTTTTGAATTTAGTTAAACATTCAAATTTTTCAAAATCAGGTTTGTTTTTGTTAAAATTGTTTTTAACTAAAAGCGTTAAATGACATATATTTATTTTAAAAAACAAAAATTAAATCGACTGTCAGACAGGTCAACATGAGAAACTTAAAATATTGGCTTATTCAGCTAACTAAGTCATTTTCACCTTCATTTTCCTGTTTGTTCATAATCTGGAAAAGAAAAACAAGCTTTCCTGCTTTTTCAGGTCCCAAACGATTTCTCAATTTGGAATGAATTAGTCCAAAGGAAGAAAGTATTCTTTCTATATGGGCAGAAGCAGCTACTGCTGTTAAAAGTGAGATTATCACTTCAACAGTCTGAATCCAAGTGCCAATTTCTTTAAAACATCATCGGCAAACATATATTTCTTGGACGGTTCACCCTTAGCTCTGAAGTTTATTATAGTTGGCATTGTGGAGGGTTGATTGCTGAATGTCCATATCATAGCCAACTCCTCTTCTTTAGTAGTTAAGGTTTGACCCTGGTACCGAGTATTGAGAATATTGGCAAGAAAATGAGCTGGAGATAGTGCATGTCCCATTCATTTTTTTAATGTTTGTAATTTAACGCTGTCCTTGCATATTTCTCTTTTTAAGATCTCACTCAGTTCCTTCCAAATTTCAACAGCGTCAGCAATAAAACAGCGATTTCCCTGCATTCTGTTCAAAGCTACAGAAACGGGCTTCAGGGTACTCAGCATGTGTTCAACATTTCTCTTAAGCCCAATGTTGAGAACTTTGGCTGTGACAGGGCCATCTATTTTTTCACGATTTTGTTCACAAACCAGGGTGGATAAAAATCAATGTTGTCGTTTACCCATGTACACCTAGATGTGCAGCAAACTAGTAACTGAGAAACATGACAGGAAGACAAAAGTGTGGCATGTCATGGGTAAGCACTTAGAAACAAATGTTAACCTTATAAAATCAGTTGTTGAATTGGATACTTTTCCTCTAGTCACAGAAGTTCCAGTAAGAGTTGGAGAGAGAGGTGCAGAGAGGCTCATGATGAAATTTCAAGGGTCCTTGTTCAAAAACTGAGTCCCCACCAGATTTATTGTTTGCCCTCTAATTAACTGTAACTTCATTTTTCATTAACCCATTGTCAGGAGTGCCATGTGTTCACATCTTGTTGGCTTCTCTGCTTCTTGTTAAGCAGAATTGACAGAAAGACTTCTCTCTGAAACATGGACACAAACTGAGCACTTCTGAGAGCGGACTGCTAATTTCATTGTACTGCCCTCACAGAATGAACAGGACCAGAACACTAACACTTTCAGGTTCACCTAACTAGGTAAACATCTTGCGGAACAAAGCCCTATGAACCAGACATGTCCTAACTGGTATTCAGAGAATGGGACATTAGGAATTCTGGCTAATGCATGGATATAAAATGTCCCCTACTCTAGATATTTTTAATCGGTTTTCTGAAGGGCAAGTCCGTGAGTACTCTTTGTAGGCAAAATGCAGTTCCTGATGCTTTTTGAAGAGTGTATTCAAGATTATTTACTGGGATCATATCACTTTTGATTATTAAATATCTTGAGGCAACGCTGCTTGTATCTCACATCATAACCTGTATCCCAATTGGAATTTGAATGTTTTTTACAAGCATCTAGATGAGCTATGATATAAGCCACTGAAATATTTCCCTCCATTTTTATATTTGACCTTTAGAATCTTAGCTATAGATGCTACACTCTCTAGTAAAAGTTGATGAGGTAGCACACTTATCATAATTCTAGATGGTGGACTAGACTCGCTGGGTTGCTCCCACCTATTTATCAAAGCTGACTTTCTAGATCTACGATGGTCAACAGGTGCTTTTACCCAGGGCGTGGAGCTGGGGCTGGGGCTGGTAAGTGTGTGTGGGGAGGTTGGTTGGTTGGTTTTTTTGTGTGGTGTGTTTTTTTGGTTCTTTTTTTTTTTTTTTTGTCCCATCCACCTTGAGGGAATTCTTAGGAAAACTTCTTTTTAAAAAAAAAAAAAAAAAAAAAAAAAAGCTTTTGATAGCGATAAGGACATATCACTAAAATGAGCAAAGAGGTCCTTTGCTGTGGTTAATGCAGCAAACGGTACTGAAGTCCTGTTGTAGTGCAGTGTAAGTGTAAGTGCCCATGGCAACTTCATTTAAGTAGCCTTAATGGGTACTCTTCACTTGCCAATAAATAAAATCCTTTAAAAGTAAATTACAAACATGTCTAACCCAAACTTAAGGTCAAATTAGATTTTTAAAATTGACTAAGTTGACAGTGTCCCTTTAAGTTTAGTCATGTTTGTCTAGAAATTTTGTTACTTGTGCTACAAGATACATGTAAGATTGTTATGAACAAGAGAGTGGAAAGAATTTTTTTTTCATGTGCCTACACTGGGTAAATAGTTGTTTTGGTTTAACCTGTACAGCCAGTTTCCCCTGTTTTTCCTGTGGGTTTTTCATACCATAAAGAAAAGACAAATGCACTAGAAAATAGGACTATAAAACAACTGTTTTTTACAGGGATACTAGCGACTAGGTCTAGTACTGGAAACTTTAACTCATTGTTAAAAATAAGCTGGATTTCAGGCTGACAGTAGTCCTTTACTAATGTTCTACAACAATCTAGTTTTTTAATCCAGTTGCTGAACAACTGTATGAAAAGCAATCTCGATTTTTTTTTTCTTAGACCAGTCTGTTTGAATCCCTTTTAAGAAAAGAATCTTAAGTTTGGAGAAGAATGTTTACATGCTAACAGCAACTTTCCCCTTATGGACCAGATTGTGGCCAGATCCAGTATGGATGTGCAATAGGAGAACGGTAGAAATAGCCTACCCCATCTCCTCCCACATGCATATATGTCAGGGCTGATATTGCAGTCCTAGTGCTCATATGAGCACAGGATTGCTCCCTGCTAGTGCCTCTGTGTGTGGTGGTAACCACTCCACAAAAGAGTCAGGGCTATTACCTTGGGTCCCTTCTACATCACCCAGCAAGAGCTAGCTTCTGCAAAGAGAAGCATATGCTGCACCACTTCAAAGCTTGTAGCAGTAAGCATGCTACCCATGTTGCCACAATTTGTAAATTGCCTTGTTAATTGTTCAGTTACTAAAGGAAATACTTACTATAAAAGATATCTATTACTATGAAGAGACTGTTAACTGTACTGTTTTCTTTAATTGTCGTAATATGTTTTCTTTGCAGATGGAAAAACTGGTGGATTCGTGGAATTTTAACGTTAGCTATGATATCATTATTTTTCCTGATCATATATCTTGGATCATTTATGCTGATGCTTCTTGTAAGTTTTCTAAACACGTTTTCCTGTGTCAGACTTACTCACCCTTTTTGTTGATCATAATACATAAAATGAATATGAAGGCAAATTATATAGAACTTTCAAATTGGTGAGCAATTTACCTTGTATTGAAGTGAATTAGTACTTGTGAAAGGTATGGGATTGACATTCACACATAGCTTTTAGGGACTGCTGGCTTTGTTGGTACTTCTATGTACTGTACGTTTCAAGACTTCTATAATTTAATGTAAAATAAAATAATGACTCTCTAGTCCTTTTTGTTCTAGAGATCCTTGAAAATGGGACTGAAACTATTACAATAAATTTCCACTTCTAAAATTTATAGATCATTCTCGGCCCTCCTTTAACATGATTTTCCATCTCCTCATACAGAGTGGCCTGCTTTTCAGAAGTCATTGGATGTCCTATACTAAGCTTGCCAGAGTTGACGACCCTAAAGAAAACATTAACTTTGAAATCTTACTTTAATGAGCTGATTTTTGTTCCTTGACACTGTCTCAGCTAGGATAGTTCAATAAAGTATTTATCTGGTTCACTTTTTTTCTGTGAAGTTCTAAAATAATTAGATTTGTGGAAATGTATTTAACATCTCTTTTTAGGGTGTCATAATTAATAAACTGTTGGTTTAGTTCACTTCAGATTTTCTAGAAAAAGTTCACTGTTGCCTCAGTAACATACTTTAGGTTATAGGGAAGTCAGTATCAGGATTATAACAAACTCAATTGAAACTTTATTTATGGTATGACTGCCATTGCTCCATATGCATACAGAGACCATATTTTAAGGCATGTGTGCAAACAGGTAGGATTAAGGATACCTAAATTAGGTATTTCTGACTTCTGAGTGTTTTGACCTTATAACTCCCCTAACACATTTTTTCTCCTTATAGAATATACACAAGGGGTGTAATCAATGGATTGTATATTCATGCAGTTTTTGAAAAAAAATTTTGTAGAGAGCTATATTCTTGGCCTGAATTAAAGCTGAGTTTTTGCTGCCTTAGCAGTGCAAATAGTCATACAAGCCATCCTAAAAGTTGCATTTGTGATTACCCTTTCTGTGCTGTGTAAGGGATGTGTAGATGGCAAAGTGCGGATCCTTGACTGTTACAGTAGTCCCAGTGGGTGGCTGTGGCTGGCATTGTCTAAAGCAGCTCCCTTAGTTTGTTCTAAATTATGCCGGGGAACATTTTGGCCCCAGGTCAGAGAAGTGAGAAGGTGGATTAAAACCACCTTTCCTCTTCGCTCTCCTCAACTGCACCAAGTTTGGACTTGGCTTAGCTGAGAGAGAATCCGACTGATAATGTTTTTCTCATCTCCCATTGTATCATGCCCTCAGTTTGTTGCTCTGTTTTAACCATTCATATTATATTTCTTCCTGTCCTTCTTTTCTCTTATAGGCATCCAGCATCTTTTTAATTATTGTGCATAATATATTTTTATAATAGATTTTACGTTCTCTTTCACCTTAGTGTCTTCTACCCTCCACTCCCTTTCATTTAGTTTATGTCAGACATCCCTGAAATATTCTTCTATGGCTGCAAGAGCTGCTGTAAGTGCATCTGGATAATACCACTGTCACTTATAAACAGTTGTTACTGGTTTGGAGAGGAACTTGATAGCTGTGTATGAAAGGTTAAATATTGAAAGATGTTACCTGAAACTAAGGTCTGATTCACCAGCAAGTGGTATCTCTTTAGTGCTTGAGATTTCAAGTCTTCTCTGTTGAGAATTGTGCTCACAGTTTAGTCCTCCTCTCAAAGCTGCCTCGTTGTAAGGTTAAGTTTTGTTAACTATTCTTCAGGAAACATGTAACTATGTCCATGGTCATCTTTAAAGCTTTAACACAGTACATTGAGGTCTAAAAGCATGGGCAGCTACAGCTTGACCTAAAAGAACAGATCCATTAGCTTGCAGGCAATAGCAATCTCAAACTTTTATATGTGGTACAGCTACTGAAGGTCTTCTAAGAGCACTGATGAGACAGACTGTTGGAGTATGTCAAGTAAGCATCTTTAGAAACTGAAGGAAGCTTTGAAATCTCAGTGCAATTTCTGTTATTTGCATGTAGAAATTTCTTTTTTGTACCATGACTTCTTAGAATCCTAAAGGATTTGTATGTCGAGAGTGTCTGAAGCCCTCTTCATAATGAACTACTTTAGATCAACATGTGGGATTTTCAGGCTCAGAGTTGGCTTACCTCAGCTTCTATTGAAAAATCAGAGATTTACTTGAGATGTCATGTAGGTAATTATGGCTGAGTAGGGTTGACACACTAGGAGAATGTACAATATGTGTTTGAGAGTCTTTCTGAGGAGGTGGGTGAGATTTTGATGTATGCAGATGTATAGTTTTACATTGTATTTTGGGTTTTGGGGTGTTTTTTAAATTTATTGTCCCTTAGCAACCCTAACTGGTTTTTAGTGTGTCTGAATATTATTTTATTTGGAAGCTTGCTTTTCTTGTGTTTAGTAACTTTTTTCTAACAACTGTTAGTTGCCAAACTTTATAAAATGCAGAATGCATTGGATCAGTTTTTAAGGCAAAGTGGTTAAGTTAGTGTTTTCATTAATTCGTAACTTCCAATATCTTTCTCTTCTCCATGATCATTCAGGTAAAACTTTGTTCCATGTACTGTGTACATAGATAGTTTTTGAAAATAGGCCCTAAAAGATGAGCCGTTTTGTTTCACTACACTCTCACCCATTATCTATTGCTTCAGGTCATAGAGTTGGCCCTCAAGGAATTTTTTTCTTCTTTGTACAGCATTGTACAATTGGTTAAGTGTATGATGGGTTTTCGCTTTCTTTTGAAGCATCAAGTGTGGCCTCCTGAGAGAGTTCTTTATATAGGCATGTTATGTCAGTCACCTCTAAAATAAACAAATACATTTTACTCTAGCTTTGAAACATGCCTGGTCTTACTCAAAGCTGTATCAGTGTCCTATACAACCTTGCAATAGAGCAGTAGACACTGAGTGCTTCTCTTCTGTCTTATCAAACTAAATTTAGGTTAACCAATTTATTTGAGCGTAAGCTTTCGTGAGCTACAGCTCACTTCATCGGATGCATACTGTGGAAACTGCAGAAGACATTATATACACAGAGACCATGAAACAATACCTCCTCCCACCCCACTCTCCTGCTGGTAATAGCTTATCTAAAGTGACCACTCTCCTTACAATGTGTATGATAATCAAGGTGGGCCATTTCCAGCACAAATCCAGGTTTTCTCACCTTCGGGGTGAGAAAACCTGGATTTGTGCTGGAAATGGCCCACGTTGATTATCATACACATTGTAAGGAGAGTGGTCACTTTGGATGGGCTTTTACCAGCAGGAGAGTGAGTTTGGGGGGGGGGGGGGGCAGAGGGTGAGAAAACCTGGATTTGTGCTGGAAATGGCCCAACTTGATTATCATACACATTGTAAGGAGATTGGTCACTTCAGATAAGCTATTACCAGCAGGAGAGTGGGGTGGGAGGAGGTATTGTTTCATGGTCTCTGTGTATATAATGTCTTCTGCAGTTTCCACAGTATGCATCTGATGAAGTGAGCTGTAGCTCATGAAAGCTTATGCTCAAATAAATTGGTTAGTCTCTAAGGTGCCACAAGTACTCCTTTTCTTTTTGCAAATACAGACTAACACGGCTGTTACTCTGAAACCTAAATTTAGGTTGAGCAGTCATGCCACAAAACTCTTTGGAAAATATCTTTCAACCCCGTTCTCCCCCCAAAGCTGCAGTTTTCTTTTAATCATCTTTTAGAAAGCCTGGAAAATAAAAAACAGAAGTTCCATGTGTATCAGTAATGAATCCAAATATTCTAATATTTTTGGTCAGAAGAAATTTTCCACTTTACAGTGGAAGAAAACAAGTAATGCTCAATGGTTATCTATTAGTTTTTTGTGGGGGTCCGTGAAGAAGGTGTTTTTTTGGAATGTGTATAACAGAGCCTGGAGATGCATACATTTGAAATGCTATACTATGGACTTTTGAAGAAATTAACCCAGGTGTTGACAGTGGTATCCCAAGTGTAGACAGTGTTCCAGCAGCTTATGGCGTTTTTAACACAGTACAGTTAAATCTGTTGAAAATCATCTTTAATTTACCTGATAGTAAAAATGGTCTGGTTGAAGGAGCTTTATGTACTCTTACAGGCAGATGTTTAAAAGTGATATTTAATAGTTCAGATGACAACTTCCCTGTGTAAATATGCAACTTTCAGATTATCTTCAGTCTTTAACAGTATATATGTGTTTCAGTTTTTTGTTACGATGCAAACATTATTCATTAGAAAAAATTGGTAAATATAACTTTTCCAACCATGAGAAGTAATAGCCTGGTATATCATTATGAACAATTGAAATGGGGTAATAATTGTACCCATTAATTCCTTTGAATTTGACCCTAAATAAATGTGTCTAGCTGCCCAGAAAAGTTGTGTGTGTGTGTGGGGGGGGACACGGACCTGTTTTGAAACCTCTACGGAAGGTGTGACACGTAGTGACCCATTGGAATGTTGTGTTATCAGTATTATCATATCCTATATTTACATCTCGTAGATACTGTTTTTCCTCTAGTTTCTAGAAAAGGGGATCTGTAAATGCTGTAATTCATTCTTTTAATGAATGGAGTTTCTTTCTTGTAATAACTACTTTGAGTGTAGTCGTCATCTTTGCATACGTGTTGATTTTTTCCTTTGAGTGTTCTCAAACTATGCTGGTAGGGTTATAATGAGGAAGGAAAAATAACTGATTGTTTTGCCACATGGTTTGGTATATTTACCTTTTGAGACATGCATGACACAGGCTTAACTGACAAGCCTTGAAGCAAAAAGTAACCGTATGAACTTATTCACGTGTTACACCACACAGCAGAAGTTTCAAGGCTCAGATCTTTTCACAATGTTATAAAGTGTGTAGAGATACTACATTTGATTGACCACATATTCTAGCATCTGTTTTATAAAGAAAAATGGCTCATGCAGTGGAAAGACTGACAATTTTATTTCCAACAGAGGAGGAGAGAAATGTTTAAATTTTGACAGAGGTTGTGAGGTCAAAGATTTACCTGCTTAGTAGGGCTTAAAGTGCGTGGAGGGTTTGTGAGGAGTGGTATCTAAATATTTAAAAGTTTAGAGGGTAAACATTGAGGTTCTGTCTGTACTGTGAAAAAGCAACAAGTTAGTTAACATGTTTTTAACTATCATGACGTTAAATACAATGTTAAATATGACAACAAACGTTAGCCATGACCAGCTAACACACTTTAAACAAGTGTTGTCCACACTAAGACATAATTGTTTAACGTTGTGTTAGTTAAAATGTCATATGTGTGTTACCAATTTATGCTTTTGCCAAGTGTAAACAAAGGTATATGTTTACACATTAAGGAAGACAGCGCAGATCTGTTCAGCTTGTAATATTCTCTTAGTAGCCGGAAAGTCCTAGAAATGTAAGGTGTGTCTACACTGCACACGTAGGCTCTTTCCCTGGTTTTAGCCTTAGCCTCTCTGCTGTCTACATAGAAAAAATTCTGATCTGGGTTTTTAGGGCTAGCTTATCTGGATGGGGGTGTGGGTTACAATGGGGTTCCACTTTAACTCTGGCTGGAGCTCTCCTACTTTGCAATGAGGACACAGGCTAAATCACTCAAGTACTGATAGTCTCCAGTGTCTTCCTATGATCCTTCCTATAGGACAGAGAAGGTCACCTGCAACTGGTGCAATTGACTGGGGAAAAACAGTGACCCTAGGTGTCTCTGCATAAAGAAGATATGCCCCCAGACACACATGGGTGGATGCAGAGACAGTGAGGACACAGAATTAACTCTGGTAGGGCTTTGCAATGGGGATGCTAGTATGTGAGATAGGCTAACCCATGTTAACTGTGTAGCATAGACACAGATGTCCAACTCCTATTGCACTTCACTGGGAAATGGGCACCTGACTTTTCTCTGAGCCTTTGAAAATCTCCCCTTTAAATGCGAAATTAAATTTGGTTTAAAAAAAAAGAAAAGGTTGAAAACCCTATTCATCAAGGAAGGCTTCTTACTTGCCATTTGTGAGTGCATTTACCAAACCTTTTTCTAAAAAAACAGTTTCCCTAAAAACGTTGATAGCCTCAGTAGGTTTCATGGTGAAGCAATTAAAATCAGTCCCCAGTGTTTCATTTTATAGAATGCCTCATTTTTTATTTGTTCAAAATAGAATGTTTGTTTGTTTCATCCTGTAATCGCTTTTGAAATTATCCAAACTGCTTATGCAATGACTGCAACAGATATTTTTAATGCAGGTATTATCATCTGTTAGTGCCTTTAGAGAACTGTGCACCCCGATAATTCTTCTTTCTATCTTAATTTCAGGTCTTGAGCATTCAAGTAAAGTGTTTCCATGAAATTATTACTATAGGCTACAGAGTCTATCATTCCTATGAATTACCATGGTTTAGATCCTTAAGCTGGTAAGTAACAAGCAAGAATTTCAATTAATGGAAGTATTGAAATTTTGTTTGTATTTAATTTGCCCATGAGCATCTGTTTTATTTGCCTCAGTTTGTACTTTTTGATAATTTTTCTTTTGTTGAAAGAATCTAACAGTACAAGAGGTATTTTTAATAGTCCAGAAAAAATAACCAGTGCCTGTTGTATATGTTATAGGTACTTTTTGTTGTGTGTGAACTATTTTTTCTATGGAGAGACAGTGGCAGATTACTTCGCTACTTTTGTTCAGAGAAGAGAGCAACTTCAATTCCTAATTCGCTACCACAGGTTTATATCTTTTACACTCTACTTGACAGGTGAGTTTTTGGTAAACCATTCCCAAATCCATCAATGGTTAATGTATTCTTATTCAGTGGTGTTGAGCACATTTTTACATATTTGTTTGCACTTCAAAAGTTCATTTTATTTCCTGTAGCTTTCCTCACATCCATTATTTTTTCTCTCCCTTGTTAAAGGAAACCAGGTGTCTGTATTTGTTTTGCCAATGAAAAAATTGAATATGAAATCTGATGGAAGGCAAAGCTTTAAGTGGTGGGTACTGCCTAAAAGGGGGTTGCTTAGAAAGCAGAAGATTGTGGGGGAGAAGGAATAAGCTTGTCATGAATGAACACTTATTATAACTGCTGGAAGTGTCAGACTACATGCTTTGTAGTTTTTTCTGTTTGGCTAGCCAAGTCAAGGGTGATGTTTCTAAATACTGTGAGGGCATAGTGATAATTGAAACAGTCTGAAGGGAGTGTGTGTTATGAGCTCTTTAAGAACATAAATTGTCTGGTTGAGGAACACTTGTGAAACACCTAATACTAGGTACAAAGGCAGGGTTCTGTTTTGACTTACATATCAACAGAATTTTTAACCTAGTTCCAGTTGCAAAGTTGCTTGTGAAAAGCCATTGTCTTCTAATTGTGCTCTCAGGAGCATAGAAATTACAATAATGGACCAGTAATCTGACTCCAACAGGGGCCAGTACCAGATTTGTCTGAAAAACATGCAAGAAACTGCAAAGTGGGTGAGTATGGAATAACCTGCCCACAGGAAGAGCCATTCCTGAGTAGTTATACAAAGAAAGGTGTATGAGTAGTTCAGATTATTACTTTCAATGTATATATTACCTTGCATTTGTCAACACTTAATTTTATCTGGCATTGTGTTGCCCGTTAATCTGTTTGCTTCTTTTGAAACACCACAGTCACCTTTCACCTTGATTTATGTTGTCATTTGCCTATTTTGCCATTTTACTGTTCCTTCTGCGTTTCAGATATTTCATAAATACACATTAAGCAATCTTGGTCTTAATACAGAACCTTGTGGCACCTGACGGTTTAACCTTTTTCCAGGTTGAAAATTGACCCACTGTTACTCAGTAGTTTGTCTAAGAGACAGAACAATTATGGATCATGGTTTTCATCCATGACGCCTTACTTTCTTTAATAGCCTCAAGATGTGAGCTGTATGCAGGCCACTAAAGTATCCTTGTGGGGACCTAAGGGCCCCTGAGCTCTGCCCAAACTCAGATCATGCACAAGGCTGCCACGGTGGGAGGAGGAGGTACCGCCATTTCTCATACCGGCCAGGACCAGAGGGGTATCATTCCCCTGACCATCAAGCCAAATCCCTGTCCTCCATACCCCTTGGCCATGGGTTGGTGGTGGAGCTACACTATAAATAAACAAAATACCATTTCTATTTTTTTCATACAAATATAACACTAAGTCTCTTGGGCGAGGGATCTTAAACCTGGCATTCTTCTTTAAATTAGCTCTAATGAAGTGAACATCGGAATAAGATAGCTGTCACTTGTTTTGGAGTAGTAGATTTTAAAGGTAGTGTAAAATAAATATAGTAGATTTTAAAGGTAGTGTAAAATTAATGTATATGGTGACTGTTTTTTTGCTGATAACTGAAAGGAACAAAGTTGACATGAAATAATTAGTATTTTTATGCCAGTGGAATTAAATCTCAGTATATCATTTACTGGATATGCTGAAATCCTTTAAACTAAAAGCCTGATGGAAGAATAAGCCTCTTCAAAGTAAACCAATTGTTGTATATCCAGGGTTCTGTTTATCCAGTGTAATTAGAAAATAAGATTGCACAACATGCACCTTTCTTTTTTTGTTCTTTGTTGTACAGGTTTCTGCATGTTTGTACTGAGCTTAGTGAAGAGACATTATCGCCTGCAGTTCTACATGGTGTGTATTAACCACTTTTTATAGTCACTCGCTTTGTCATAGAAATCATCAGCTACGTTAAAATGTCTGTCTTGTAGTATTGCATGAAAGTTAGAAATATTTAAAAACAAAACTTTGGCTAGTATACTCAGAGTAATTGTTTGGAGCAACTATATTTGGGAGAGTTGAGTTAAGGTCCTTTCCATCTCTCTAACTTAATATTGTATTGTAACATATGGCCTCAGTGAATACAAGGCTGTAATTTGTGGTGAATTGTTGATCTAAAGTTTGATTTATTCCCTTTCAGTGACAGATTTTTAAAGTTAAAAATAGGTTACCAATTAAAACATGGAAGTAGTACACTTTTATTCTTGGCTTCCTAGACTGCGAGATATTTGGATTATAATGGAAGGCAACTCCAGAAGCCTCTCTGGTCTGGTCAAAGGGTAGTGGTGCTTTGAGGGAAGCTTAGCTCAAGTCATTGGCTGGAAGGTGGTTATTGTGATAATTAAAGGCGAGCTGGGGGTATGCTCTGCCAGACTAGATTGGTTCCATTTCTTTTTTAAGTGATTGACAGTGTTCTTATTTCCACCTCTGATTCCCCTACACTGAGTATCTGAGACTTCCACACAATAAACAATATCCAAAAGGCTGGTTTTAAAAACAAAATCACACAATCCCCACAGAGCTGTTAAACCATTCTTGAAAATAATCTAATTTCCATCTCTGTTAGACAGGGAAGCTTATAAAAGCCTGTCCTTTTCTTTTCTGCAATTACAAAAAGTTCTGGGACTGTGGTTAGCAACTCTGATCCTCTGGCACAATAGAACTGTCTTCTGCAAGGGTAAAGCTCATCTGTACAGGAAACAGAGCTTTCTCTAGGGACGGTCCCAGAATGGGGAATAAATTCCCACAGGATCAAAGAAGCATCACAAACCTCACCACTTTTCATTCTAAGTGCAAAGTGCACTCCTTCAAGAATACATATAATTTCACACTGCTTTCCACTAGGAAGAGGAAGGAAGAAAGAACAACATGTGACAAATGATAGTCATATCGCTTATGCCCTTCTGTAAAGTGTTCAGATGCTTTGGTGGTGAGGGCTGTTTAAGAACCTGAATAGAATGGAATTGGACATGTATGGAATGAGGAGTGTAGCATTTGTCTGTGGGCAGGAGCAATCTTAATTAGAGGGGGGAATATTTGCTCTTGGGCTGTATTCTGATAACACAACTGGAGAGTAATAAAAATTTTACTGGATACCAAAGGGGGAAGAGATCATAGTTCTTGGGTATGATTGTTACTTGAGTGCTGTAATTTAGATGTCTATCACACCCACAGATTATATTTTCCAAAGCTTCCAGTCACTTTGAAAGACCCCACCATCGCTCACCCCAAAACACACACTTGCTTGCTCAATCACACAAATGTTGAGCCCTTTAAAGAGGTACCATGGTCACTCTCACAGAAGAATAGGAAATAGCATCTAGTAGGGAAACTGAAGAAAGTCCCCACAAAAATACCTGTTTTTAAAAGTTGAATAGCCTGTTAGTCCCGGGTGTCTGCAGTGCATAACCTTTTAAAAGTCTTAATTGATCAGCCCTGACCAATGATGAACTCTAATTAAGCCTTTTCAATAAATAAAACTTTAAAGCAGCTGCTTTCAGTAAACTTGTCTTGAAATCTGTGTGTGGTAGGAGCATGTGTACTAATGCTACAAAACACATGCTAATATAATATACTAGAGGAGATGAATTACAGTGTGCTTAACAAAATGACATTATACTCTAAAAAGTAACACATTTCTCATTCTTACTAGTCCTAGCTTTAGAAACCTAGTTTCAGTAGTCTGTAATAAGAGGGCTGACATTTTGTCTTGAGACTTCCATATCTATGTAACATGATACTTCCTCTAACTCAGGGGTTCTCAAACAGGGGGTCGTGAGGTTATTAAATGGGGTCATCAGCTGTCAGCCTCCACCCCTAAATACTGCTTCTCCTCCAGCATTTATAATAGTGTTAAACATAAAAAATGTGTGTTTAATTTTATAAGGGGGGGGTTGCACTAAGAGGCTTGCTGTGTGAAAGGGATCAGCAATGTAAAAGTTTGAGAACCTCTGCGCTAACTCTTCATTACCATTGTAATGTTGTAATCCTTAATTGTTTATTATATGTATATACAGAATATCACAGTATCATTCTTTTTTTTCATTCACGTTAAAATGTGTACCTAGTTGCAAATAGAAATGTGGACATTTTTCATACTTAGGTATTGCTATAACCTGTGCTGTATGAGATAATTGCTCTCAACTTCCAAATTCTACTAAGTGCATGTCATAGGGCAGCCTCACCTGGGTGCCCTCTGGTGCCAGGCCATGGTATGACAAGCATGGATGCCTCAGTTTTCCCTTCAGAGACCCCAGAAATAGTCCTGAAGTATATGTAACCCTTTCAGGCTTAATTACAAAAGTCCTATATACATAAATCATAACAAAAGTCCCCCAACCATAGTGCGGACAGTACATTAAGTAGATCCATAGAATATCTCTGGATAGAAATTCCATGTTTGAATAATAAGAGTAGGAATATATTACCAGCCACCTGGCCAGGATGGTGATGGTGATTGTGAAGTGCCCAAGGAGATTAAAGAGGCTTACAAAGGCAGAATATACAACAATAATGGACTATTTCAACTGTCCTCCTAGTGACTGGGAAGGGGATGCAGCAATGAAATTTGTGGACACGTTAAATGAAATAGCCAGTCCTGGAACCTACAAGAGGTGAGGCAGTTTTTGAGTTAATCCTACATGGAATGTAGGATCTGGTTCAAGAGGTGAATATAACTGAGCCGCTCGGTAATAGTGACCAGGATGTAATTAAATTTAACATCCTTGTAGGGGGATAAAATGTCAGATAAACCCACCATGGTAGCATTTTACTTCAAATAAGGGAATTATACAAAAATGAGGAAGCTAGTTAAATGGAAATTAAGAGAAACGGCCAGAAGAGTGAAATGCCTGCAAACTGCATGGAAGTTACTTTAAAACACCATAATAAAGGCTCAAACTAAATGCATACCCCACTTTAAAAAAAAAGAGGGGGGGCGGGGAACCAAAAAATGCCACCATGGGTAAACAACTGGATAAACGAAGTGCTTGGAGGCGAAAAAGCGTTCTTTAAAAACTGGAAGTCAAATCCTAGTGAAGAAAATGGAAATGTTCATAAACCCTGGAAAGTCAAGGGTAAAAGTATAATCAGGCAGACAAAAAAGAATTTGAAGAGCAACTAGCAAAAGACCCGAAAACTGACAGCACATTTTTAATAAAATAAATCAGAAGCAGGAAGCCTGTCAAACAATCAGTGGAGCCACTGGACAATTAAGGTGCTAAAGGAGCACTCAAGGAAGACAAGGCCATTGCAGAGAAACTAAATGAAATATTTGTACCACTGCAGAGGATGTGAGGGAGATTCCCATACCTAAACCTTTCTTTTTAGGTGACAACTCTTGCGGAACTGTCCCAGACTGAGGGGTCAGTAGAGGAGGTTGTGGAAGAAATTGCTAGATTAAACAGTAATAAGTCACCAGGACCAGATAGTATTCACTGAAGAGTTTTGAAGGAACTCAAATATGAAATTGCAAAACTACGAACTGTGGAATGTACTCTATTGCTTAAATCAGCCTCTCTGCCAGATGGCTGGAGGGTAGTTCATGTATCACTGAGTTTTAAAAAAAGACTCCAGAGACAATCCTGGCAATTAAACGCTTGTAAGCCTAACTTCAGTTACTAGGCAGACAGGTTGAAACGATAGTAAAGAACAGAATTATCTCAGAGGATAAAGACAATATAGTGAGGAAGAGTCAATATGGCTTTTATAAAGGGAAATCATGCCTCATCAATCTATCAGAATTCTTTGAGGGTGTCAACAAGCATGTGGGCAAGGGTGATTCAGTTGATATAATGTACTTAAACTTTCAGAAAACCTTGACAAGGTCCCTCACCAAAGGCTCTAAAGTATAGTAAGCTGTCATGGGATAAGAAGGAAGATCCTCTCATGGATCAGTAATTGGCTAAAAGATAGGAAACAAAGGGTTGGAATAAATGGTGAGTTTTCATAATGGAGAGTGGTAGATAGCGGGATTCCCAAAGGATCTTTACTGGGGCTAGTGTTGTTTAACATATTCATAAATGATCTGGAAAAGGAGATGAATAGTGAGCTGGCAAAGTTTGCAGATGATACAAAATTACTCACTAGTTAAGTCCAAAGCTGGTTGCAGAGAGTTAGAGAGGGATCTCATAAAACTGGGTGAATGGACAACAAAATGGCTGGTGAAATTTAGTGCTGATAAGTACAAACTAGCTCACATGGGAAAAAATAATCATAACTATACATATAAAATGATGGGTTCTAGATTACTTTTACCACTCAAGAATGAGATTTTAGAGTCTATTGTGGATAGTTCTCTGAAAACATTGTTCAGTGTGCAGTAGTGGTCAAAAAGCTAATACATCTCTACTGCGATATAACGCTGTCCTTGTAGCCAAAAAATCTTACTGCGTTATAGGTGAATCCGCGTTATATCGAACTTGCTTTGATCCACTGGAGCACGCAGCCCTGCCCCCCCCGGAGCGCTGCTTTACCGTGTTATATCCGAATTCGTGTTATACCGAGTCACGGTATATTGGGGTAGAGGTGTATAATGCTAGGAAGCATTAGGAAGGTGATAGATAATAAGATAGGAAATACCATAATGCCACTATATAAATCTATGGTACGCCTACACCTTGAATACTGTGTGCAGTTCTAGTTGCCCCACCTCAAAAAAGATATATTGGAATTGGAAAGGTACAGAGAAGGGCAGCAAAGATGGTTAGGGGTGTAGAACAGCTTCCATACAAGGATAGATTAAAAAGTCTGGGACTGGTCAATTTGAAGAGAGACAGCTAAGTGGGGGTTGGGATAGAGGTATATAAAATTATGGCTGGTGTGGAGAAAGTGAATAGGGAAGTGTTATTTACCCCTTCACGTAATACAAAAACTAGGAGTCACCCAATGAAATGAATAGGAAATACTTCACACAACGCACAGTGAACTGTGGAACTCGTTGCCAGGGGATGTAGTGAAGGCCAAAAATATAACTGGGTTCAAAAAAAGAATTAGATGAGGTCATGGAGGACAGGTCCATCAATGGCTGTTAGCCAAGATAATCAGGGACACAACCCAATTCTCTGGGTGTCCCTAAACCTCTGACTGCCAGATGCTGGGTTTGGACATAAGGGGATGGATCACTTAATAATTGCCATGTTTGCTGCCTCTGAAGCATCTGGCATTGGCCACTGTTGGAAGACAGGATACTGGGCTAGATGGACCATTGGTCTAACCCAGTATGGCCGTTCTCATGTTTCTATAAATCAAGTGTTTAAACTACAGGATGCAAAATTCTAGGTGCATGTTGTAGATAAATTTCAAGAGGCTTTCCATGATTGTGATTGCTGTGTTTCAGAAATTAATTTAAATTATTATACATTGTGTGCATACATCTCTTGCATTGTCACTCAGCCTGGTCTTTCCTTTGAGCTCCTATGCAGCTACTTTAGCTGAAATTCGGTCTTTAACTATGTGTATTGATCTGTGTTTTCACTAATGTTATGTTGTTGCACTGTTAACAGTTCGCATGGACTCATGTCACTTTGCTGATCACTGTAACTCAGTCTCATCTTGTCATCCAAAATCTGTTTGAAGGCATGATCTGGTAAGGGGACTGTAATAAGCAGACTTGTAACTTTATTGTATACGTATGTATTTCAATTTGTGTAACTTAAATCTTGTAAAAGCACTATCAGATATCTTCATCTATCTACTAGTAGAATGTAGTTCATTTTACAGTTTTATTGGCGGAAGTCTAGTAAGGACTACTTTTTATAACATTTTAAAATATCAGAAATTAGTAGAGGACCAGACTCTCTTGTAGGCTACATTTTTCTTGCAAATCTGAGGGCCTCTTACACTGTAAGTCCAGGAGTAACTCCAGTGAAATTAATAAATTTACTCTGGTTTTACAGTCCTGTAACTTTGTGCAAAATCTTGACCCAGAGAAAAATATGTCTGCTAGAGGCCAAGATAAAGATTTTTAAAAAATGGATATCCCAATTTAGGGTCCTAAATCCACATTTTGGTGCCTATGGCCCCATCAGCAAGATATTTAAGCACACGAGTAATCCCATCCCGATTCAGCAAAGCACTTAAGCGTATGCTCAAGTCCTATTGAAGTCATTGGGACTTGTCTTTAAAGTTGAGCACATGCTTAAATAATTTGTTGACTAGGGATGGTATTATTTGCATGTTAGGCACATGGTTAAGTAAGTTGCTGAACTGAGAGCTAAAGTAAATGTGTTCTGAGTTTCAAAATTATGAGGACCCAGCAGCTCTCATTGAACTAATTGGGAGCTGCTGGTTGCTTAGCACTGCTGTAAATAGGCCACTTACCTAGAAGCCTAACTTCAGGCACCAAATTTTGAAAGTCTTGGCCCAAATAATGTATATAATCCTTATAAATAGACAAAAAGAAAAGGAGTACTTGTGGCACCTTAGAGACTAACCAATTTATTTGAGCATGAGCTTTCGTGAGCTACAGCTCACTTCATCAGATGCATACCATGGAAACTGCAGCAGACTTTATATATACACAGAGAATATGAAACAATACCTCCTCCCACCCCACTGTCCTGCTGGTAATAGCTTATCTAAAGTGATCATCAGGTGGGCCATTTCCAGCACAAATCCAGGTTTTCTCACCCTCCACCCCCCCACACAAATTCACTCTCCTGCTGGTGCTAGCCCATCCAAAGTGACAACTCTTTACATAATCAAGTCGGGCTATTTCCTGCATAAATCCAGGTTTTCTCACATCCCCCCCACCCCCATACACACACAAACTCACTCTCCTGCTGGTAATAGCTCATCTAAACTGACCACTCTCCAAGTTTAAATCCAAGTTAAACCAGAACATCTGGGGGGGGGGGGTAGGAAAAAACAAGAGGAAACAGGCTACCTTGCATAATGACTTAGCCACTCCCAGTCTCTATTTAAGCCTAAATTAAATTACTGTGGGGCCATGCGGGTACCCACAGCAGTGCCGCTGATCTGAAGGTATACATTGTCCCCAAATGTGAAATAGTTATGGGTAAGGACAAAGTCACAAAGTTCAGCCACCAGGTTAGCCGTGACATTATCGGGGATAGTGTTCTTGACGGCTTGTAGTCCATCTTTGTGTGGAATGTTGGTGTAGAGGGCTTCTACATCCATAGTAGCCAGGATGGTGTTATCAGGAAGATCACCGATGGATTGAAGTTTCCTCAGGAAGTCAGTGGTGTCTCGAAGGTAGCTGGGAGTGCTGGTAGCGTAGGGCCTGAGGAGGGAGTCTACATAGCCAGACAATCCTGCTGTCAGGGTGCCAATGCCTGAGATGATGGGGTGCCCAGGATTTCCAGGTTATGGACTACAAGCCGTCAAGAACACTATCCCCGATAATGTCACGGCTAACCTGGTGGCTGAACTTTGTGACTTTGTCCTTACCCATAACTATTTCACATTTGGGGACAATGTATACCTTCAGATCAGCGGCACTGCTATGGGTACCTGCATGGCCCCACAGTATGCCAACATTTTTATGGCTGATTTAGAACAACGCTTCCTCAGCTCTCGTCCCCTAAAGCCCCTACTCTACTTGCGCTATATTGATGACATCTTCATCATCTGGACCCATGGAAAAGAAGCCCTTGAGGAATTCCACCATGATTTCAACAATTTCCATCCCACCACCAACCTCAGCCTGGTCCAGTCCACACAAGAGATCCACTTCCTGGACACTACAGTGCTAATAAACAATGGCCACATAAACACCACCCTATACCGGAAACCTACTGACCGCTATTCCTACCTGCATGCCTCCAGCTTTCACCCTGACCACACCACACGATCCATCGTCTACAGCCAAGCTCTGCGATACAACCGCATTTGCTCCAACCCCTCAGACAGAGACAAACACCTACAAGATCTCTGTCAAGCTTTCTTACAACTACAATACCCACCTGCGGAAGTAAAGAAACAGATTGATAGAGCCAGAAGAGTTCCCAGAAGTTACCTACTACAGGACAGGCCTAACAAAGAAAATAACAGAACGCCACTAGCGGTCACCTTCAGCCCCCAACTAAAACCCCTCCAACGCATTATTAAGGATCTACAGCCTATCCTAAAGGATGACCCAATACTCTCACAAGTCTTGGGAGACAGGCCAGTCCTTGCCTACAGACAGCCCCCCAACCTGAAGCAAATACTCACCAACAACCACATACCACACAACAGAACCACTAACCCAGGAACTTATCCTTGCAACAAAGCCCGTTGCCAATTGTGCCCACATATCTATTCAGGGGACACCATCACAGGGCCTAATAACATCAGCCACACTATCAGAGGCTCGTTCACCTGCACATCCACCAATGTGATATATGCCATCATGTGCCAGCAATGCCCCTCTGCCATGTACATTGGTCAAACTGGACAGTCTCTACGTAAAAGAATAAATGGACACAAATCAGATGTCAAGAATTATAACATTCATAAACCAGTCGGAGAACACTTCAATCTCTCTGGTCACGCAATCACAGACATGAAGGTCGCTATCTTAAAACAAAAAAAGTTCAAATCCAGACTCCAGCGAGAAACTGCTGAATTGGAATTCTTTTGCAAATTGGATACTATTAATTTAGGCTTAAATAGAGACTGGGAGTGGCTAAGTCATTATGCAAGGTAGCCTGTTTCCTCTTGTTTTTTCCTACCCCCCCCCCCCCAGATGTTCTGGTTTAACTTGGATTTAAACTTGGAGAGTGGTCAGTTTAGATGAGCTATTACCAGCAGGAGAGTGAGTTTGTGTGTGTATGGGGGTGGGGGGGATGTGAGAAAACCTGGATTTATGCAGGAAATAGCCCGACTTGATTATGTAAAGAGTTGTCACTTTGGATGGGCTAGCACCAGCAGGAGAGTGAATTTGTGTGGGGGGGTGGAGGGTGAGAAAACCTGGATTTGTGCTGGAAATGGCCCACCTGATGATCACTTTAGATAAGCTATTACCAGCAGGACAGTGGGGTGGGAGGAGGTATTGTTTCATATTCTCTGTGTATATATAAAGTCTGCTGCAGTTTCCACGGTATGCATCTGATGAAGTGAGCTGTAGCTCACGAAAGCTCATGCTCAAATAAATTGGTTAGTCTCTAAGGTGCCACAAGTACTCCTTTTCTTTTTGCGAATACAGACTAACACGGCTGTTACTCTGAAACCTATAAATAGACAGTCCTTCTGAAGCAATCCTTTATTCCCAATCTTCTTTGATAATTGTGCCAGAATGATTTTCAGTAAAAATAGTGAATTGTTAAGTGTCCAGCAAGGATAACTTTAGCACACAAACAAGCTTATCTTGTATTACTTGTCAGACTTTGTTTTGCTTGTACATGAAGTTGAGCTAAAATAACCAAAAAGTATTTCCAGTTTTTGGTACGCAGTGGTCATGTGAACAAGCCAAGCTTTATAGTAAATGATGCTTTTGTGCTTTATCAGACAATATAAGTTCTTCTTAATTTCATATATAAATAGTTCCAATTATCAAGAGTCAAAATACTTCTGTTTAAATTTTAAGTGAAACTGGTTGGGCCATCAAATAAATCCCTACTCACTTCTGGGCTGGTGTTAAACTGTAATGATATACTTAAACTTTACTACTGCAAAACTAAATTGCTTACTAAAAATCCTTTCACTCTGCTGAACACAGATTGAATTTTGGGCTACATCTTCAGCTGTAAAAGATTAAGCAAGCACGCTGGAGCTCGTCTGTGGTCTTCAGAGTGCACTGCCTTGCATGAATTGCTTTTTACTTTCACAGTATGCACAAAATTGCAGTAATTGTGGGATTGTTTCAGATGAAAGATGCAGTTGGAAAATAATACAACAAAAAATCCCAACTTTGAGTGCACTTGCTTAACAAATCCCTTAACAAGTTTTAAAAGTTCCTGTATGAACCAGTGTTTGGGGATATTCCACAGCCTCCCTAGAAAACCTATTCCAGTGCTTCTAAGGGAGGTTGTGAAATCCCCACCTTCAAGAACAGGTTAGACAGATGCCTCTTAGAGGTGATCAAGGAAAACTTGGTTCTGCCTCAGTGCAGCAGGCTGGGCTAAATGATCTCTTGAGGTCCCTTGAAGCTCTACATTTCTATGATTTTTCCTAGTAAGCCTATTACTTATAATTAAGTGATTCTGTCAAAGTTTAGCCTGATTCCTTCTCTACCCTATTACAGCTTTTGTTGTTGAGTTCCAGTTACTACTGAAATAGTCGTGTTTTATGTCTGTTTGCAGAAGTGCCCACTATTGTGTCAGCCTGTATTTTAACTTTCAAAAGGAGAAAAGGAAGACTAATAGACCTAGAGGAGAAAGTAGGGAGAGAACTCACTGGAGAATGTAGAATATAGCATCTGCCATAATCTATTACAAGTATTGTATTGTTGCGGGAACAGAAAGGAGACCTTTTAAAAAAAAATTATAGTTGTCCTTAGATTTTTTTTTTTTTTAATAAGGAAGTTGCTTGGCTTGGTGTGATCGTGTCATTATCTTGTGACGCTGTTCCTGTTTCTTTCTGTTTTTTACCTGTAGTACTGATATTCAAATTTGTTATGATACAAAAGTCCTCCAGTTGATGTGCAAATTCAGTATTCAAGGCAAAGGTGTTATATCTAAACACTTCGGTAGGTCTTGTTGCGTTGTTGAATAGAAGCTAAAATAGGTGTAGCTAAACTTACGGAATTTGCAAAACCAAGTAGGTTGGCTTAACTAGAAGCTTATTGCATGTTGTCAGTGCTTGCTGAATAAAGCAAGAGAATACTACAATTTTTGCCTTATACAATGAATATTCTATGTCGTCTTTCAGTTTTAGGTCAATTTCCCCCCCCACCCCCTGAAATGTTTCTATTTTATTCCTTAGGTTTCTGGTGCCAATCTCAAGTGTTATCTGCAATGATATTACTGCTTACATTTTTGGATTCTTCTTTGGGAGAACTCCATTAATTAAGGTATTAACATACACAATTTTCTACTTGTAGGATCTTTTTAATTTATTGTAAATAAGTAGATATAACTGTCCTGAATAGCAGACTTGCAACAATCTAACCTTGGTTTTCACACACACATTTATTTGTGGAATAAAATTTCTCTAGTATTTTGCCAAACTGAGTACTCAATTTATAGCTGTTATGCTTCTTTAAAATGTAGTCCATACTGTGGCCAGATGTAGGCTTTTTCCATAGATCACAAATGGGAGATTTGTCCAGAATGACAGATCTGGACAGTTTTGTCCAGAATGACAGCTCCACCCTGTGGGGAGTGCCATCTTGGAACCTCATTGCCTCACAGGCAAACGAGAAGAATACCGCTGTACTGCTTCAGAGCATCTCTGGGCTAGGCTCAAAAAGCAACACCTTTCTGCTACCTTGGATGGACCACCTCAGATTTGCCTTTTCTCTCATCCCACTAATACCACGAGTTCTGTGAAAAATTTGCAGGCTTGGATTCTCCTCATCGTGCCCAACTGGCCGAGACTGTATTGCTTTTTGAACCTCTTGAAGATCTCAACTCTTCCTCCCATTAGCATCCAGCCATTTCCAGATCTACTGATGCAACACAATGATGTAACCAGTCAGCCCAACCTGAGCCCTCTGTTACTCAGGGCCTGGTATTTGGATGGGCATCAGATGTAGAGTGTTCATGTTTGGAGGCGGTCCAATCCATTCTCTTCCAAAGCAGGAAGGATTGTATCAGGAGATACTATTTGGCCAAATGGAAATGTTTCTCCTCTTGGTCACAACAGCATCAGTTATCTCCAAAAGCCATTGGGATTCCTGTCGTTTTAGACATTAGTTCACCCTTAAGACATTGGGCCTATCCATCCGCTGTCTACGGGTCCATCTTGCAGCAATCACTGCCTTTCGTTCTCCAGTTGAGGGCCATACTAACTTCACTCATCCAACAACAGAAAACCAACACCACAATTGGATCTTAATGTTGTCCTTTCAGTCCTTACTAGATTTCCTTTTGAATGAATAGCCCCCTGTTCCATGTCCCACTTCTCAATGAAAGTTGCCTTCAAAGTCACCATCACATCAGCCAGAAGGGTGAGCAAGTTGGGAGCACTCATGGCAGATCCGCCGCATACCACTTTTTTATAAAGAGAAGGTCTCTCTTTGCCTCTACCCAAAATTCATCCCAGAATTCATCAAAATTCATAGTAATTTCTCATAGACTTTAAGGTCAGAAGGGACCATCGTGATCGTCTAGTCTGACCTGCACAACGCAGGTCACAGAATCTCACCCACCCACTCGTGTAATAAACCCCTAACCTATGTCTGAGCTAGGGAAGTCCTCAAATCATGGCTTAAAGACTTTAAGGTGCAAAGAATCCTCCGGCAAGTGACCCATGCCGCAGAAGAAGGGGAAACCCCCCCAGGGCCTCTGCCAATCTGCCCTGGAGGAAAATTCCTTCCCAACCCTAAATATGGCGATCAGCTAAACCCTGAGAATGTGGGCAAGACTTACCAGCCAGACACCCAGGAAAGAATTCTCCGTAATAACTCAGATCCCACCCCATCTAATATCCCATCACAGTCCAGTGGACATATTTACCACTAATAGTCAAAGATCAATTCATTGCCCAAATGAGGCTATCCCATCGCCTCCATAAACTTATCAAGCTTAGTCTTGAAGCCAGATATGTCTTTTCTGCCCACTGCTCCCCTTGGAAGGCTGTTCCAGAACTTCACTCCTCTGATGGTTAAAAACCATCTGATTTTCTGAGTTTCACATAAATCAAATCATCCACTTACTGGTATTTTTTTCCAAAACATCATGCTTCTGGCGCGGAGAGAAGGCTCCACTGTCTTAATGGCAACGGGTGATGGAGTTCTATTTGCAGAGAAGAAAAGCAACTAGGAAAACACCTAGACTATATATCTCCTCAGCAGAGTAATCAAGGGGTCAAGCATGAATTGCGCAGAGACTCTGAAAATGGATCTCAGGCTGCATCATCCTTTGTTACCAACTAGCTTATATCTCTTCCCCGCCCCCTGTTCTAGGGCGTCTGAGCCTCCTCCACTAGAGCACAAGCAGTCTCCACAGCATCTCTACAAAACTTACTTCTACTATAATATATATATATATATATATAATAGGGTGACTACCTGGAGCTTTATCTATACCTTTACAAAACATTATGCATTGGTCCAGATCTGTACTGCAGATTCAGTGGTAGGAAACAGCACTATTACAGACATCCATGCTATCTGCGTCCTCACACTCACCTCCTGTTTGACCATTGCTTTCTAATCTCCCTTGTGTGGAATGCACATAGGCACCATCACTCGAAGAAGTGGAGGTTACTTACTTGTAACTGAAGGTTCTTGTTCTTCAAGATGCGTGTTCCCTATCTGTTTTCTACTACCCATCCTTTGTCCCCTCTGCTGTGGATCATGACCAGATTTGTGGTAAGAGAAGGAACTGGAGAGGCATTGGTGTGCACTGCCCTTTATAACTTCGATTCAGAGCACAAGGAGAGTAACCGCGCATCTGCACACCAACAGATGCTACTTATTGAAAATCTTGACTCAGGCACATGGTGCTCATGCCTGTCCACATGTGGAACACAGCTAGGGACTGTACATCTTGAGGAACCTCCAGTTACAGGTAAGTAGCTTTCACTTTTCTTGTGGATATCGTTAAATTCGAACTTGGTTGCATAGATACTCGTTCTTCATCTGGTCTCTGCTTTGTAGCTTTAGGAGGGGTTCAAAGCTCTATCTGAAGGACCTCCTACTTGTGATTGTACTTGCAAGACCCTACAGGAAGTATTGATCTGTGTTTTCACTAGTTGTAGTGGTGGTGCAAAGTTAATAGCTTGAAAAGCTGCTGGGTTCAGAATTATGAATATAATTTTTTTTGTAAGCTGCTTAATACAGCTACATTAAGAGAGCAAATTTATTCAAATTAATGGCAATGTGGGAAATTCAAACCTTTTGTGCTTTGTGGCAAAGGTGCTGCCTATTGGGGTCAGACAGGGATGGGTTTCCCTGTAACTTTTTGACGTGGTTTCCTGCAAAATAAGCTTTTATGACTTTGGACTTCCCTAAATCATCAAATATAGGCCACTGACCAGGGCATTGTAGAGTATATTGGACAATTTGCCATTTAAACAGGGTAAATCCTATGTCCCTGAATTTCCATACTCTGTGTTACAGTTAACATAATATGATGAGAGAGATTTATGCGATTAGCAGTCCAGAAAATCTAATATTTATGCTCCACAAACCAGCGGAAGTCTTCACTGATATTATTTCTAATTACATTACTTTCTTTCCATGCAGGCCACTCATTAGAACAGTTACTGGGTAAAATTAAGCCATGAAATTTTTTTTTTCCACAGTCCACTTCTCCAATATTTGCTAGCTCTGGAAAACAAATAGCAGTCTGTTCAAGATCTTCACAAACATAAACACATTTTTTTCTCTTGGTAATAGATCTTTGGTATTTTACTCACTTGCCAAAAAAGCTTTTACTGTTCTCTAGTTCTTTATTCTTCAGTGTTTTTGTTTTGTTTTTTAGTCAATAGTCGGGTTCCCCAAATTGTGATTGGTGACATTCTTATGGAACTAAGTTTGCAGGAACTCTTTTCTTTAGGGAAGTGGTGATTTCATTAGATGAAACCATTGCTTTTTGAATATAATATTTTGCATTTAGCAATCTTAGCTCAACCTCCTCATGAGCTTGGGTTTTTATCATTATAATTAAACCTGCTCAGCTAGGGCTGATGGAAAGGAACTGATAGTTAGAAAATGACAAACCTTCTTTGTCGGTCTTCCTCAAGGTTTCTCCTTGTGTTAAGGAGCTGAGCTGTTAGATCTCAGTAGAGCTTTATGTAACTATCTTGATGCAATCCACTTGAGGGGTTGTGTGCTTGAATCACATGACCCAAATGTGTAGCTTTAGGTCATTGTTCTACTGGTGCAGGGCAGATAAGGTAGTTCCTCATATTCCAGTTAGCTGGGATAGCAGTCAATGAGAAGCCTTCTTTTGTCTTCCCAGCTGATCTTTCTTTGCTTGAAAGGGCACGTACTGTCTGTCTTGTTCTTGGAAATGGATGAACTGTTTAGCTGAAGCTTACCAAAAATGAAAAAAAATTCAGCCTGAGGCAAACATCTGGCATGGAAAATTTCAGCCCAAATGGTTTAATTTTTGTCAAAATTGTAAGTGACTGAAAACCGGTTCAGTGCTGGGCAGCCTTAACTGTAGAAGTCATTCTGTGATGTGCTTGTTCACTTAACTGTCTATGTGGGCATACGTGTAGGTATTTGCATGGAAATGTCTGCACTCAGTAGTGCATGTATACTTTGAAAACCAAGCCCTGAGCATTTAATTTGTTGTGCAGCGAAAGTATCATGATATAAATTGTTAATTGATTATATCAACTCCTTCTCTTTTTGTGATTAGCTGTCTCCTAAAAAGACCTGGGAAGGGTTCATTGGAGGTTTCTTTTCCACTGTTGCATTTGGATTTATTGTAAGTAGCTGCAGGATTTTCCTTTTCTAGTTTCATCATTTGACATGTGATTCTTAAATTTGACAACAGGATTGTTTTAGTTGTCAGTCTGCTATTATGGTGTATAGAAGTAGTGATCTCTTGTTATCTAGAGAATTCATTTCACTGATAAGTAATGCAAAGCATATATCATTTTCTAACGACAGGAAACGGTTGAGGAAAAGCTAAACTTTTTTGTACTAACCATATCTGCCAGATTACATACTTCCTATTCTTGTTAGAGTTTGTATCCATAATAAATGTTATAGTTCTGGTGCGAATAAGTATACACTTATTTTGTAATTGAAATCTATTAACGGCCTTCTTCACACTCCGTAAAATGACAGTGAATTACACTTGTTTGATGTTTAAAATGCATTCTTTCTTGATACAGACAGCTAGCTTAAATTTATGGTATGCATGAAATAAAATAACTGTAGATTGTAGTTAATGTGTATAACTTCTAACAGAGGCTTGTGAAAATCACAAGCTCAGAATAATTGTAGATGTTGTGCTTTGTTTCTTTCTTTACACTTCCCCTTTAAATGAAATCTTGATTTCAAGAAACAACACAGAGTCACTATCAGTGTCTCCTAATGCATTATTGGTTGTAGTAAGGAAACAATCAGTTGGCATGACCTCAGGGGATCTAAAAAGAATAACAAAAGTTAGTGATATTTTAGTAATGTGCTGAATGTCCATTTAGCCTGCTTGTTGAGGAGTCGCCAATCTCAGAAGGGATGTTCTATCCACTTTGGAACCATTTTGTAACAAACATACTTTTTAACTACTATCAAGTGTGACTTTAGCAAGAAATGAATACGTCATAACTCTTGATTTGCCTTTCAGTTTGCCTACCTTTTGGCTCAGTATCAGTATTTTGTATGTCCAGTGGAATACAATAGTGAAACAAACAGATTTGTTACAGAGTGTGCACCATCAGAGCTCTTCCAGATACAGAGCTACTCTGTACCAGCATTGCTGCAGGCTGTGTTGGGAAGGGTAAGGAAAAACAAAACTTTGAATTTGACATTTGAATTGAATTTTTATTTGCCTACTTTTGTACATTAAATATTATTGTTAAAGGTGACCTAGTTTGTCTCAAAGGCCAGGGATTGAATTAATAGGTAGAAGGAGGTAGTGTCACCCATGGGTCGGTGGAGGGTGTCACTCCAGAACGTAATTGAGGCATATTTGGTGGAGTTGTGTGGGGAATTTTGCACTCTTGCAACTCATGCTGTTGTACCTCTCATGGAAACAGAAGACTTCGATTTTATAACCAAAATATAATGTGAGAGAGCAATCTGGTGTCATTAACAAAGTTTATTTCTGCAAGTCAGCCATTCTGTCTTGTGATGAATTGTACACAAAGTTTTAATTTAAGAGTTAAGGCTTGATTCTTAGGCCCATTAGAACTTGAGTTAAAACTCTAAAAACTTTGGCACATTTTGTTTGGGAAAGAGATTGAAAAGGAAACAGTTACAGTGCTGGTCCAACACGTGGGCAACATGTGTGAGGCTGGACATCACCCTCCTGTCCAAGTCAAGCACACACAAGATGTTTGAAATCCTTAATGCTATGTAGAATAAGGGAAAATTACTGACTGGTAACTCTGTGACTCAGTGATCTCCTTCCCTCCTCACACCCATCCTACAGATTCTTTGGAGTGAGCTGTTGTACCTCCACCTATAAGGAAACAGCAGATTGTCAGTCAATCCAGTATAAAAAGCCCACCCAGCTCCATTCCCTTTCCTTCAATCAGAAAATTCCAGAGCAACCAAACAGGAACAAAATAGAACAGTCCATCACTCCCCTCCTTCGAGGGGAAGAGGAGAAGACTATGACAAAAACAGAATTACTGGTAAGTAATTTTCTCTTGTTGTACGTCACCTCCTCTTCCCCATCCTCAAATTCCTTATGCTTAGCTGGTATAGGAAGCTCTAACAAAGCACAGAACTTACCTATACATTGTTGTATCAACGCTTACCTGTCAAATGGAGCATTTTAAACAGAGAGCAGGCTCAACATATGCTACAAGATAGAACGTGTGAAGAATAACCAAGTCTCTGCCTTTAATACACATTTCTGCCAGGAAAGCTGCAGTTCTTTTTGTGGAATATTCTTTTATAGGTAGCAGTCCCCCACCTTGATGTTTTCTTCTTCAGTACAGTCCTTGGAACATAAATCATACGCTTCAGGGCATCTGGTTTTCTTGATGTAAATTGGACTTCTGAAATCTTTTGTCCTGGGGTTGTAAAAATTTGAAAGTTCCTTAACTAATAAATTAAAACACTGTGGGAACAAGATTGGAAGAATATAACTACAAACTACAGGTTGTTTCAGATGAGAGTATTAACTGTTGGATGAATGTCCAGTTATCTTCAAAAAATGGAAGACCGAGAGGCATTATAGCTAAAGCTGTCACGGTAGCTCTCATATCACTTAAACCATGATTATGGCTTTTAAAAAACAAACCTTAAGGGGGTAAAAGGAGTCATTCCAATAAACTCAAAGTGGGGGAATATATCATAGCTTTGAGGCCTAAAATAAATCTGCTTGAAGGACTACTTAATGAATTGCAGACCTTCATAAAATAAAAGCTTGGCCCTTAAGAGCAATATAAGGGTGAAATCTAACCTTAGTGTGCAAGCTGAGATCCCTGACTAGAGAGGTGGCTAAGGGAGTTTGTTTTCAGTTTCTTGAGAAGAGGAAGCCTTGCTTCTTCTACACAGTGCCACCCATGGGAATAATCTGTCATGTGTCACAGAAGCAGTTTGTTCAACAGTCCACCTCCAGCCCCACTTATGTATGTTACTCTGTCTAAAGGGTTATAGAATTGGCCCAGATTCATAAAGTGGAATCTGCCCTTTGTGAAAGGGTGTGGTCTTAGATGTGCCCTTGCTGCCAGATTCTGTACGTTCATGAAAGGAAGCCAGAATGGCTTCTGCCCAGTTCATTTGACCTTTCAGTAAAGAAAGAGGAAATGTAACCCAACCCTGCAGTGGTCCAATAGGAAAGTATATGTTTGCATTGACAAGAGACTATAGCTCCATACACGTTACTAAGTCAGTTTTGTCAAAGCTCTTGCAAGTCAGTTGATGGAGAGAGCTTTAATGTCTCACATGTCCTGTTGAACACAGTCATAAAGGCACAAACTCTGTTTATCTGGTTTTAAAATTGTTTGTGCCCAATTGTCCTCCTCTGCAGGCATCATGCTGCCTAGTGCCAAAGCAAGATGGGGTTTTGTTCAGAAACTAAACTGGATGATCTCTCACTACTGTTGGTGTTTTCCTGATTATTAATACTTAACACAAACACTATCACAGTTGTTAATTACATACTTCTGCAACAGAATGGACTTCCAAAAGAGTCAAAATCTAGAGAACTTCCTGTCATTCACTCAGGTTGATGCTTAGATATTGTTTTGTCCTGACCAAAACCCTCTGCGTTGAAGCAGTGTCCTGTGAGCCCCCAAACCAGGAGACTGGTGGCTGTGATGCAAACTGGGAATATAAAATTTAGGAATTCTAGGCCATAGTCCATGTAGACACAGATTAGGAGGTCAGGAATTCTCTGGTATTTAAATAGGTCATCAAGAGCTCTCTTCTCTGAAGGACTTGGTGCCATGACTCAGTGTGATCATCGGGGACTGCAGGAGAGAGGCACATTTAGAATATTAAGTTGCTACAGAATATCACAGCAGTCTCTTAATCTTGAGGTAAGAAGGGAAGTATGTAGACTAGGAATGTCTGCTGATAGAAAAACATTCCTCTCTGACGTAGCTAACAGACCAGAAGCTTAGTTTAAAAAAGTGCGCATCAATCAACTAAATGAGTACAATATAACAAGTTTGAGTGCAAAATATAAGAGGGAGGAAAACCTTTCCATTTTCTATAGAATTCATGGCAGGTGAGAGTGGAAATCTCACCAGCTAGGAGAGTTCCTGCAGTAGCTGCTTTGTAATTTTTCTAGAGCTGTCAAAAGGCATAAAGTACATGGCTGCTTCTGGGACCTGGAGGTTGAGGAGGTAATTATTCCCCTCCTGCGCTGCTGGAATGATTGTTGCATGAGTCTGCCATACTGTCACCAGCAAAGCATTTGAGAGGCATAAATATGATAGATAGTTACCTGGAAGGGAGAATCTCGTTACTAGAGGGCTTTCACACACTGGCCAGAGTTACTCTTTCCAAAAGTTTGAGGGCTAGTGGTCAAGATCTTTTTTTCCTTTCCTGTAAGAGGAAGAGACATTAGGAAATAGGGAAACTGGAAAGAGCTGAGATTGAGAAGGTATTGGAGCTGCATCTTATATACTAGGATGATTAACTATACATTTCTTTCTTTCTGATAAACGGAGATACAAGTCAGTTTAAAGAATCTGTGGAATTGGGTAGGGAAGGGGAAATGTTATATTTGACAAATCCCTTGTTATGTCTAAGATAAATATTAAAATACTTCAGTACTACTGACCAGGGAATTCTTTTCACATTAGATAAAATATGTATTGGTGTGTTATATAACGTCTATTTTTTCCCTATGCAATGAGGGCAAGTACCTTTTTATAATAGAAAAGTGGGAAATTTTCGGTGAATCATGTTGGCTTTGAAACAAAATGTATTTTCTCTGTTAGTAAAATAATTTTAAAGCCTTTATATATTTTAATTTTAAGGCCTCTAAATTTTATGTTGAGTTTGGCCTTGAGTATCTGGAATGATTGTAAATAATTTTAATTGATGTATACTATTGCTAATAGTTGTTTTCTTGCAGGAAACAATCAATATGTACCCATTCCAGATACACAGCATTGCTTTGTCAACATTTGCATCTTTAATTGGGCCATTTGGAGGCTTTTTTGCTAGTGGATTCAAAAGGGCTTTCAAAATCAAGGTATGTACAGATTTTTGTAGATTTTAAAAAAACCTATGAAGACTTTGATAGAGCCAGTTCCTAGAATTTTAATTAGATGAGTTCAGATTATAATGATCTAGACACACTTGTTTTCTACTAAACCAAGATGATGTGATAGATAAAAAGCTACCATTAGTCTCTGAATCAGTATTCTTCTTAATCAGAGATACGGTGCAGAATATGCGTTGGCAAATAATGTTCTTAAACTTCATATGTTATCAAGATGCACAGTGATTTCCTTTCTGGCAAATCTTAACACTTTCTGGTTTTATTGTACGCACATTTTGGTATCTGTTTACCTTTTGCGAGTTACCTCTTTATACTTGTTTATATAGTGAGGTAAGAAATTGTGTTATACATAAGTATTTATATTGATGGTAGTATACATGAATACCTGCTGACAATTTGCTAGAATATATCATTTGCTAGATTATATCTCCAATAAAGTTTGCATGCCCTTTTGAGCACTGCTTCCATTTCAGATTTTCTTTTGTAAAATTAAAATTAGTGTTTGAATACAATGCTTATACAGAGAGTGATTGCTTATATTCAATGGATTTATAAAGACACAACATTCTTTTTAATTAAGGATATTTGGAAATCAATGCAACATACGGGGGATTTGCAAAGCTGAAGTAAAATAAACAGGAGTATGGACCCTTGGATCTCAGGGTGCCTTTTCCATTTTAACATTCAGGGAGCACCCTGTGGAAAGATGTTTTATGCTAAATAAATGCTTCAGCAGCTGCCACCCTCATAGAAAAAGGGGATAGAAGTATTTAACTGTGGGAGGTATTTGAACCTATTCAGATAAGATGCTAGAAGATGATACTTAAAGATTAGAAGGCATGGCACAAAATAGGACAATGTGTAGAGGTAGATGGTCCTGGTCTAGCAGTTCAGTGCCTAATTTGTTCCTAGTTCCGGCACTGACCTCTTGTGTGAACTTGGGCAAGTCACTTCATCTCTTTGTTCCCCTCCTCTTCCTCCTGCCCTTTGTTTGTCTTGCCTGTTTGGATGGTAAATTCTTGAGGCCAGAGACTGTCGCTATGTGTTGGTACAGTGTTGGTAACATATTGGTTCAGTTGGTACAGTATGATGGGGCCCGTATTTCAATTAGGCACTGCTGTAATACAAACAATAGATTAGTGAGGTATTGTACATGAATATTTATACTACTGCATTTTTTTCCTTAAAGGATTTTGCAGACACTATTCCTGGCCATGGCGGAATAATGGATCGCTTTGATTGTCAGTACTTGATGGCTACTTTTGTTCATGTGTATATCACCAGTTTCATAAGGTATTTTTTGCATATATAAATGTGTATAGTCAATATAGAGATCTAGCAAACTTTCTTCCATTACATGTAGTTCTGTTCTGCTGGTACAGTAAAGGTTAGCTTTAAACATAATTTATGCAGTTACATTTGATCAGAGGGATTTCTTGAATATTGGAGCCATTGCTAAATCTCATGAAACTTCTATAGAGGTCTTGCAACAGGCTACGTTATCTTCTTTTACTGCTAGGTAACAAAAAAACAAGAGTATGTACCCAACTGAATATAAAGAAAATGAATCTGAAATAACCCCTATAAATTCAGATGTTTATTTGTGGTAATTGGAGCAGTGGGAGTTCTGCTGTCATTCCCTTTATAGTGTCTGTGGCTTGGGGAGAATCTGTAGGCTTCAGGTAAATAGAAGAAACTATCAAACTTCTACATTTTCAATTATCTGACTTCTAACTTCCTGGTTCTGATTTTTTTTTGTTTTGTTTAAATATTGTTAGTTAGAACATCCCACTTATTAGAAACGTTGCCAAATTATCTCTTGGCCACAGCAGTTTTGAAGGGGATGCTTTTAGAATGACAACTGTATTACATGGCAGCTTCTTTCACTGTAGTTTTTAAGATGCGTGGGGACAGACTTTCAAATTTAGGGGTGTCTAGTTGTATGCATCTCACTTATGCTCACAATATCCAATATTCATGTGTGCATTGGGTATTTGTTTATAAGTTAAGAATATGCAAATGTGTGGACTTAACGAAAGGTGGCTAATACATGTTTGTCACTTTTTGTCATAAATACATTTAAAATATTTTAAAATACACTTGAGATTTCCTGAAAATTTATGGATTGATTGTCTATTTTATATTCTAGAATTGGAAAGTGTCCTGTTAAGGAAACTTTATGAACGTATTGGTCCTCTACTATGCCAAGGCTAGGTCCCATTTATTTGGGTAGTATACAGCTTATCCAACAACAGGTACAGAGCAGAAAATGGCTTTGTCAAAATGGTCTGCAAAAAGTGACCCCTCTCTAGCAAGAACTTAATCCCAGTGGCGAGTAATGAGAAAGGAGGCTTCAGATTTTGTTACAAAGGGTCAGGCATTACACCATGGAAAATGCTTTTTTCTGCCAATTTTTAACTGCTGAGAATTATGCTTGTGAAAAAGGAACATCTTGATAATCATGTCAGCAATCAACAAGCATAGCCAGCTATAATTGTGATTGTTTTTTGGTCACTGAAACATGATCTAACTGTATGTTTAGGAAAAAGTCATAAGAGACATGCCCTACCAAACACCTATGGGAGGGCCATAATCAAAAATGTCTGTTTTCCTATAATTGATGTACAAAACGCCATTTGAGGTTTTTGTAACATGTTAAGGCTGAGACTTGCAGCAGAAAGGTCCTCTCTACCCTTGGATTTCTTGTTTCAAGATCCTTTCCCGGTGGTTAAAAGACATGCAACAGGCATCACTTGGACACTCATCTCACATCACTTGGCTCATTCTTTGGCATGCAGCTTGTTTGCATGAATATCTTGGAAGGTACATAGGGTGAGAGAGTCAAAGCAAGTGATTTTGGAATCGGTCACATTCTCACCGTGACCAGCAGCAGCCTTTACGCATATTACATTTGTGGCTTACCCAGTTAAGACATCTTATTACGTTTTGTACAACAGATACAGTCAGAGAAAGCAGGTTTTAATTATGCTCACCAGACAACACATACGTTCTGGAGAGATCATTACACTAGAAAAATCAGTGTCTGTCTGTCTGTCTGTGTGTCTCTCTCTCTCTCTCTCTCTCTCTCTCTCTCTCTCTCTCTCTCTCTCTCTCAAAAAGTGGACATTGCATTTATACAGTAGGGAGAAAAACGAAAGATGTCACTTTTGTATGGTAGGTTTAGAGCTTTTATTGAATAAAATTTTTTTTCCCTTAAATTTCATTGACAGGGGTCCAAATCCCAGCAAATTACTGCAACAACTTTTGGTACTTCAGCCAGAACAGCAACTAAATGTATACAAAATCCTGAAATCTCATCTAATTGAAAAAGGGATCCTTCAGCCATCACTGAGAGGATAGTTGGACTGAATGGTGCACTACAAAAAAGCCCCAAAACCTACCAGAAAAGCACTGAAAAAAACAAGTTACAACTTTGCATAGTAATAGTGGTTGAACAAGAAGTAGATAGTAGTTTTGAAGACATAAATGTTTCTTTCCTGAAACTACTGTGAACATTTAATAAGACACATATAAAATTTAAGTTTGCTTGTAAAATAACTGTTTATTTAACGTGTATTTTAGTTTCTGAAGTTGATGGTGTGAGCTCTCCGGTATCCAGCCTGACAGGTTAAATAGTTTTTAAAATAACTATTCCTTTTCAGCAGTTTTATATCACAATAACTAAACTGAGGAAATGTTAAGATTGTACTGGCACTGTGCAATTTTTAAAGCAACTTTTAATGTATCATCAGTACAGTTGTTGCTTTTAATGCAAGTTTTATAGTACTACATATCTTAGCAATAATTCCGTCATACTTCGTCTCAAATGGTTATTGAAGAATAACCAAACTGCAGTAAAGAGATGCTGTTTTATCTACTGTGCAACTGATTACATCACTTGCCAGAAAACAGTCTGCCTTGAGAGTTGCTCAGAAAATTGAGGCTGGAATTTAGAATCGAATATATCAGGGTTACTGCTGGATTTGTACCATTACTGTTTTACTGCAAATGACTAAGGTTAGCAAAGTTTCTAGTTAATGGCTTTGAAAAAAATTCTCTAATGAAATCAGTGGGTCATTGCAAGATAAAGTCACCTTTACTGTTGAGGTGCCCTGGCAGTAGTCTCCTCTTCTGGAAGAATCCTTCTGGATTACAAAACCACATTCATGCAGCCAGAGCTAGAGTGGAGATTAACCAACAGATAGGGTTCTCCAGTCCAGCAAATGGACATCAACAATCCTAGATTCACATCCCAATGATTGGTCACTCTCTGATATGAGCTCATTCTAGCCTTATTCCTTGTGCCTCGGGTTTTTTTCATCTGTAAAATGGTGATATTTCCCTCCTTTATAAAGCACTTCGAGACTCTTGGATGAAAAGTACACTATAAGTGCTTGCTTACTTAATATTTTTATTATTATTATTCCCCTGAAAGCAGTCACTGTTATCTGACTGACCACATGCCCAAAGTTCCAGGTGGAGATGGTGAATGGTTCTTCTGCCATCTGTTATCAACAGTTGAGTAACTCTAGCTTCTCAAGTAAGTTTGGGTAACAATGTAAGGATTCAGCTGAGAAATATATATACTTTATAGACAGCTGCTCTTTCAGTAGACTTAATTAAGTATGTATGTGTGAAAACAGTTGACACTGTAAAATGGTTAAAGTTAGCTATTTTCTAATTCCATTTTAGATAATATTCTTTTTATCATGTAATAAAATCTTAGTGGAAATGAAAATAATGTTTTTTTTTTTAAACAAATGGAAATTATTTTGTTCCCATAATGTACAAAAGCACATGAATGCCAAAAAGTTTCTTTTGGTGTACTAGAGACTCTAACTTGATAAAATTTAATTCCCCCAATCCTAATGTAAATAGGCTTCTGCACTCTGAGTGCACTCTGACTGTATTATTTTTGTGAGGGGTTAAAGATGAGAATAGCTTGGTGCTACTTGAAAAAACAATGTAGAAAGCAGATAGAGATGTTAACAAGCTTTATGCTTGTAGAATTCAAATTTTTTGTTTACATTAGAATAGAATCTGAGACCACTGTATATTCTGTTTCAGGATTATATACTAATTGCATTTAGGCCAGGGTAATCTGTATATAATCTGTAAATAGTAAAATAGTCTTATATACTGTTATAAAAGAGAGATGTTTGTTCTAATTCCAAAATAAAGTTTCCATTCAGTGGTAATGTAAACATTAAATAGCTGAGGGAACAAGTTAGTATTACATTTTTATATTCTACTGTAAAAGTACGGTACTTCTGTCAAAAAAAAAAAATCTTATAGAGCAAGAAATCAGCTTTAAAATCATAATGCTAGCAAATTGTCTTCCAGTAGTGATTAGCTGTGCTTCCTGACTCCCAATTTAATGTTTGTTTTTAATAAATAATAATAATAATAATACTGAAACTAAGCACATATAGGACTCTTTAACTTGAAAACACAACACAACCTGAAGGTTAACAGATAGCACAGCCAAAATTATGAGCTATGGAAAGATGCTAGTAAGCAGCTCTAAAAAATGTTGAAAGGAGGTAGCGTTTGTTGAAGCAGGAAAGGGTGATGAAAAATCATCTATAAACACTGAAATAAGGCTTTAGTTAGGTAACGATATTTTGGTAGATTCTTCCAATAAGACACACAGCCTTGCTAGAGTTGGGTGTAAATTTATCCTTTAGGTATGAGATTATATTTAATTTTAACATAAATAAAATGTTTGAACTCCTTTTAGTGTAATTTTTATATGATGTAATTAAGTTGAATATATTGTAGCATTGAGTATGGTGAACCATTTGAAGTTGATGGATCTTTATTTTCATTGTAAAAAGGACAAAATTACAACAAAAAATCATTTTCAGAAGCATTAATGGTTAACCACTTACTCTACTGTTGTAAATTTGTTATCGCTTACTCTGGTAGGCCCTGATGTAAGTCTTTGCAGGATTAGGTCCTTAATTTTTCATTTGTGAAATGCCAGAAATATTTCCTCTCACTGTTCAATGCTCCCCCCCTGCCTACCCTCCCGTTTCTTATGTATTAGTTCCATAAATATAGTCATACGGCTTGAATTGAAAAGTCTAAATTTTACACCAATGATTTCTTGTCACTTTGCAGTTCTGTTGGGCAAGGCCGTTGTAATTATCTTGTTCAGAAAAACAAATATAGAAACAATGTATATACTGTAAATGGTATTATCATATTATGTGTGTTTTAATTGTTTCAATCTTTTATTAAAGCTACGATTGGGAAAATAAAGCTGGGACAGAAATCTTCTGTGATCTGACCTTTGTCATTTTTTTTTTCTCTATAGCAAACACATTGTGGGCTGATGATCTCTTAAAAATGCACCTGTCTGTTGTTAAAAGTAGGGCTGTCAATTAATGCCTGCAATTAACTGAAAACAAAATTAACGCGTTAATTGCATACCTCTGGGTGGGGAGGGAGGCATCAGCTGTGGAGGGACTTGACAGTGTCCCGTCAGGCATAGTAACCCAAGCTGCCACCAGAGGGCGGGAAGAGAAGAGCAAAGGAAGAAGGAAGTGGCTCCCATCGCAGCTCCAGCAGAGAGGTAGGGATCCTGACCCTGCCGTGCTCCATTCCCCTCAGCTGACCCCTCACTCTGGGGACTGACCACCCCCGCGCCGTGCCCCATTGCCCCGAGCTGGCCCCTTGCTCCGGGGACTGACTGCCCGCCCCACACACACACACTATAGTCCCTGGCCAGCGCCTTGCTCGTGAGGGACATAAAGTATGCTAAGAGTGGGATGATTTCTTGCTGATGGTAATCTTGTGATCCTGAGCAATAATTTATACAATTAAGAAAAAGTGGTGTAAGAATGTAATATGCAGTGTAACTTCCACACTTGAAAATAAAATGTTTCTGATATAGTCTTGCCGATGATAAATGGTCCTACAGTGCTGTTGCAGCAATTCATGGCTGATGAAAATGATAGACAATGCACTTATTTGCACTGCAGTTATTTGTTCTTGCAGTAAAAATGTTTCCCTTTTGGGCTCTACAGCACTGTAATGAGACATTTGGAGGAAGTTTCTGTTGGCACTTGATGAGAACATCCTTTGTGCTCTGCTTCCAGTGTTCCTGATTCTCCCCACTTCTAACAATCTCTACTCTCAGAATTGGCACTGCCAGCTGGTCACAAAGTCTCTCTGAACTGCTCAGCTATAATGCAAAAACAAGTGTGGCCCAAACAAATACCAAGTGCTGCTGCTATGCACTGGGAGGGAGGAATATGCTCCTGGCTGAACTTTGCAGTGAAAAGCCCATATCTCCCTTTTCTCCTAGTGTATGTAAAGAGAGAAGGAACAATTGTATGCAGTGTTGTAGCCATGTTGGTCCCAGGATGAGAGGCACAAGATGGGTGAGGTAATATCTTTTATTGGACCAACTTCTGTTGGTGAGAGAGACAAGTTTCAAGCTACACAGAGCTCTTCTTCAGGTCTGGGAGAGGTACTCAGAGTCCTCTGGAGTCTGTTTTACCTCAGCCAGCCTGTTGCTCTGTAGCCCATCTAACCCAGTCAGGCTGCTGACATGACAACTGCGTTCTTTGAAGGCTGCATTCTTTCAGTGAGTTGCAAAGTCTGTCCAAATTAAGCAGCGCTTTCTATTCTGATGGTCATCACATGGGGAAAAACAGCTTCTTTGGCTTCTGTAATTGGATGAAATAACGTATGTATCTGTCTAACTTGTGTTCAGGCCAATTAACCTGGTCCTTGAATTTTTTTTTTTTTTTGGTGGCGGGGCCAGGGAGGGCATTCTTATAGTGGCAACTACTTCCTGGCCAGTGAGGATGGAAGCATCTGTTGAAGTGGTTAAGACTGGCCTGCCATGTGGTCTTCCTCACATACGCTCAAGCACTACCAGCTGAACAGTCTATCTTCACAGGACATCTCTTGCTTGCAGGGCACTACAGGATGCATATTAAGGTAAGCCTTCACCTATGGCATTATTTGCTGCAACTGCCACTTCTCCCTACTGTTTTTTCACAGTATAGGAGAAAAGGGATGTATATGACAAGTGCAGAATTACTTACCAGTAATTCTTTGTTATAGTCTTCCTTCCTACACCTTGCTTCTCTTCTGAGGGTGGGAGCCACTGTCTTGACCTCCCTCTGCTTTGGAAATAGTCAACTGAAAAGGGAAGGGAATGACTGGGCCTCATATAGGGAGAGTATTCTCAAATTTTTTGCCTCCTTGCTTTCAACAAAGAGGGAATCCAGGATGCCAGTTGTCCCTACTGTCTTCCGGTGGAATGGGAGAAGACAGAGGGAACTACCACTGAGTCATTTTTCAGGGTATGGAGGAGTAATGATTTGGGCTGTAATTTATTAGACACAAAATGTATTTTTAAAAGAAAAAAAGTAAAGTGGATTTCTGCAACAATGTAGCAAGCTGAAGGGATTCAAAATTGTATTTGGTCAGGCACTTGCTGTACCTTATGAAATTGGGTATGTAAGTAACTTCTCTTGTGTGAGTAACAAGGAATGTGTTTTCCCAAATAGGGTTTGCCCTTGAGCCAACTGTCTGACTCACTACTGAACACGTGGAAGTTGTGTGCATTCTTCGTGATTGACAAGAGGAGTTACTTTCAAAAATACTGGTTTAGTAACAAGTTAGCCTGCTGGCAGTAGCATATTTTGTGTGCGTTTCTTAGGTGAAATAGGGTGATATTTGCCAGTTAATTGAATTAGGATTAAACAAAACCTTGTGATGGACAAATCTTTTGTCCAGCTTTTACTGTAATCTGCTAAAATTTGGGTTTTTTAAATAACTTCACCCACATCTATCTTCTCTATGTAAAATTGATACTAGATAGCCTCAAGCCTCTCAGTTTAATCTCCCTCCAGTATCAAATGTGTCCTCCCTTCTGACTGTGAACTTTGTTGCAATTTCAGATGAGACCCATGGATGCTGCATTGCTAATCTTATGTGTTAAGTGTACAGCTAGCAAACCAGTGCACATTGTTTTTTTCATTTCTATAGATGTTAACACTCCACAAACATAAACTTAACAAAATGTTCCAATAGCTGCTGGAGCTTGGCTTATTTTGGTTTTGACTGGATTCTAAAAACCTTCAATCTCAAGTTAAGACAGGATTAAGCAGTTCTGCAGAAAAGGACCTAGGGGTGACAGTGGACGAGAAGCTGGATATGAGTCAACAGTGTGCCCTTGTTGCCAAGAAGGCTAACGGCATTTTGGGCTGTATGAGTAGGAGCAGGAGCATGGCCAGCAGATTGAGGGACGTGATCATTCCCCTCTATTCGGCACTGGTGAGGCCTCATCTGGAGTACCACAAGGATGTGGAAAGAGTCCGGTGGAGGGCAACAAAATTGATTAGGGAGCTGGGATGATTTAGTTGGGGGTTGGTCCTGCTTTCAGCAGGGGGTGGCACTAGATGACCTCCTGAGGTCCCTTCCAACCCTGATATTCTATGATTCTAAAAGGAATGTTTTAAAGGTGCACCTACTTGAAAGGTAGTCAGTTCAAGTTAAAAGTATTTTAGATTAACATTCATCTTTGAGTCCCCATGAGAACTCATGGTTTTATAATCATATTTTCTTTAATTGCACTCAGACAGGGGCAACTGACTATAGAAAAAGTTGGGTGAGAGAATACATTTTATTGGACCAGCTTCTGTTGGTGAGAGAAACAAGCTTACACAGACCTCTTCCTCAAGTTTGGGAATAATGTCAAGTTTACATTGTCTCCATAAAACTCACGAGGCCCCTTGCCAGGTGATTTGGCTGTGGAATGTGAGTAGCAGAAGGAGGTAGTGATGAAATAAATTCAGCCTGGCCAGACCCAAAGATGTTCATGTGTGTGAATGACAACTTGGAAGTACGGGGGAGTACTTCCAAAATTTGACCAGTTTAATATAAAAACAGAATCCCTGGCAAAGTATTATTAAAAATTGCTTATGCCACCAACACCATTCACCAAGGGCAAAAGAAGGACCTCTGTCTGAAGGCCAGTCTGTTCTCTCCTGAGGGCACTTAATGGAGAAGGGAGTGTGTATCTAGATTTTTGCAGCAACCTCATGGGTGGGAATTTGCAAAGCTGCCAACACCTTCATGAAACACTGGAAGCCTATGTGCTGGCCCAGAAATATTTTTTGAGCAAGCAGAGTGGGGATACTTAAACTTCCTTCTTCATATTCCTCCCTACATCTGTTCATTGGCAGCTGCTTCCCAGAGGTCCAGAATTGTTGGAGATGCTGGGCTGCAGAATGGAACATTTCTACTGGTAACTTCCACAGTTCTACCCATCCTAAGTGGCTCATGAGTCAAAGGTCAGATATTGAAGTGGGATTGTTACCATCTATCTTAGTCTAATGTACAAAGTTTTCTATAGAATATTTGTTGTTCATGATACGCAAGTTTTATAGGTTTGGAATAACTTCTCTTGTGGCAAGCAGGAGCAGAGGGGCTGTGGCCAAAACTCTGATACATTTCCAAAGCTGCAGCTCAAGGAGAGGGGCCAGAAGTGGGGGAGATACCATTACCAGTAAGACAATTTCTATTTCTCTCCCAGATCAATCATTCACTGTACCAGTTCTGGCATCAGTGCATGTCTGTTGAAGTCAGCCAGCTATCTGGCAATATTGGAACACTTAATCCTGCAAGCATGTTTTAAGGGATAGCATGTGACTAATAGAAAGGAAAAACAAAAACTTATGTTTCACCAACCTTGATTTTGTCTTTACAAATGAGCTCAAACTGTTACTGGCAGGGGAAATTCCCGATGTTAACTTGTAAGACTGCTGAAATTCTAAGGCAAGGTTGAATTTTGCTTGGGGAAGGAGGTTATGCTTCATTCCTTAAGGAATATCCAATTTTAACTTAGGAAAAACTGATAAGACTACATTAGGGTGAGATACTTGTGTTCCCATCATGGCCAATCCTTATGATACTTGTAAAACAAAATACAAGGGTTTTCTGTTCTAATGTTTGTGAATTACAGTACTCGCATTTGGGGAAAAAAAAACAAATAGGACTGGTACTCCTACTATATGGTCAGTTATTACTACCTAAAGTAAGTATTCAACTGCAACCATTGCTTCCTCATTCAAATTCTTTCAAGATAAATGCAAAACAAACAGCCTATTGGTGGTAAATAGCAGGTATTTATTTGAAATGAAAAAAATACGTAAGTACCTGAACTATTGCATTTAATCATGTATTGTAATTGTGTTACTCTACCTTTTTGCATTGGAGACAAATATACAATGAACATTCAGATATCACAGATTGCACACTAGATAGTAA